TTGAGATATAGATATATACAAATATTGATTCAAGTCAATAGATAAATAATAATAAATAAGCTACTTTATTGCTTCAACACATGTATACCCTATGTGTGTTATGTGGTATACCCTTTAGAGAGGGTATTACTGAACAAGGCAAGCTCACATTTTTCAATTGTTTTACGATACTAAACACAATAATTGCTGTTTATCAGCAACAATGACGGACGCTATGCTGCCAGTAGTAAAAGCGAGTGTGCGTGTGCGTATGTGTGTGTGTGTGTGTGAGCGGCGCCTATTCACCTTGACATGTCAGAGCGGTGGGCTTATTAAATCCATTAACACAACATAACAATAACAGTAACAATAACAAATAAGTAGCTAATAGCAAACACGCAAATTATTACAATTATTTATATTTGTTATTAAAAATACTACAACAACAATGCAAAACGAAAGTGAATTTCAAGCATTGCAAAAAGGCCAAATGCCGCACTTAGTCTAATGTGTGCGAGCGAAACAGACACAATGTAAATGTAAATGTTATGAGCAATGCTAAAGCTTATGTTCAGTTCAGTCAAAGTTGAAATGCGCGTGCCAGAGCGAGAGCAACAGATCGTGTAGGAGTGCAGTGCAAGCATGCATGCGTCTGTGCATGTGTGTGTGTGAGTTTGAGAGAGAGAGCGCTCTGCTGCTGCCATTTGTTTTATGCAAAGTTAAATGCTGACTAAATGCTGGCAATTAAATGTTAATGTCGCGCGCTTCTGTTTCTGTTATAATTATATATGTATGCATGTATCTCTCTCTCACACTGTTTGTCTGTGTGTGTGTGTGGACTGTTTACTGTTATTGTTGCTTGCTCATTATCACTTTCGGTCTCATTGAATGCCGCCGCCGCTGCCGCCGCCACAATTGAAAAACGAAATGGAAACCGTTTCTCAGCTGTTCGCATAAACAAAAAATAACAAAATACGAAAAATAAAATGCAAAAGCAACAAAAATTGCAATATGCTGTTTCTGTTGCTGCTTTTAATGTTTATTTAACACGCATTGCCACACGCGCTGTGGCCGTTACTATTGTTGTTGTTATTGTTGTTGTGGAGGCGTGCGTCTTGCACAGTGCTGCGTGCGCTGCTTAAAGTCTTGCGACGGCCGCTTAACAAATTGCTTAACATTTCTAGCCATTGTGCACCACGGTGCAAAGCACACACTTACGTGTATTTCAAGTTCATTATAAATAAAACGTCAATATTATTAAATTTATACAAACAGTCGCTGTTGTTGTTGCTATTGTTGTAGTTGTTGCACGTGTATTTCGCTGTCTGCTTTTTCTTTCCCTGTATAGGTGAGTGCGTGAATGTCGAGTGTGTGTGTGTGCGTTAAAGCGCGCGTGTCGTATGCGTGTGCGTATGTGTGTGGGCCGAGTGTATTGAACTCTTGCTGCATTTTTTTGCACAATATCTTTTTTGCTCATATGAATGTGTGTGTGTGCATACCTGTATGTATTTATTACAAATATGCTCGACTTTTCTGCTGGCTGCTGCTTCTTTTGTTTTTGCAATTGTGTTTTTCTTGTTTTCTTTGTGTTTTGTTTTGTTTTATTATTTCATTTTACTTTTTCACCCTGTCTTAATCTGTTTTTGTCGCCGCCGTTGCTACAATTTATCGGTCAAGTTGCAATCGATGGCCAAGCGCCGATGCTGCTCCAGCATTCTAGCGATAAATGTCCTAAGCCGTTGCTCGGAGCTGTACAATAGAGATGGTGCAGCAGACTCATTTGCTGTGTACAAAAATAGCTCCCAATAGAGATGGGTGAGCAACGCACAAAAGCATAGGCTGTGACATAGAGATGGCAAACGGATTTGCAAATAGTGTAACAAAAAAGGTACTTAATTTTTTATTAAGTCTTTATTACTTAAGCCTTAAATTTTAAGATATTTATATAAAATAAATTAAATTTGTATATTTAATTTTATCAATAAATTTGTATTCTTATCTTCCATTTTGGTAAATTTTTTGATTGGTAAACTTTGTTGTTAACTTTTTTGGGTACAAATTAATTATTTAAAGTGAGAATCGCCTTTTAATTCATTTGCATTTCTTGGCAGCTGACACTCATCTTCACCCTATGTCTTTCTCGCTCTGTGTGCGTGTGTGTGTATGGAGGGATCTCTATGTGTTTGTTGCACACCTTTTCGAGGCGGTCAACTGTGACGACAAAAAGTCAGCTCAAAACGTCTTTTACTTCCGTTTTTGATGAGTTTTTTTTTTCAAGTTTGAGGTGAAGGTTGAGGGAATCGCTTTGTGGCCAACGGGCAGCAGGCTCGGGTTCAGCTTCGGGGTCTGGGGCTGGGTCGGGAACGGGTAGCGGTGTAGGGGACAGGGTAGGTCAGAGTGCATTCGCCTTATGATCGATCACGCACGTGTGTGCGAGTGAATACTGAAGCTAGCTCATTCGACCGAAATGAGATCACTTCTTAGCTTATCAGATGTTTATCTAAATACATATAATACATACATACATACATATGTACACCGTCCAATCACAGATTAAACTGTGGAGCGACTGTAGTGTGTAATTTCATCTATATGCGCATTGAATTCTTGCTGTATAATATCGATCCTTAGATGAAGTTCCACTGTACCCATTTTTTTGCTTGCTTTCCCCTTCTCCCCTTCTCTGCCTATGTATGTATGTAAACACAAAAATTTAAATTTTTTAACTCTTATCCTCTTTCTTCTCTTCTGAGTATTTATGTGCCTGGGTGCGAAACTGTAGTTGCGGTGGAAATTGCATGAGCTGCGCCTGCCAATACATACATTGCAAAAGAACCGTTATCATTTTGCATCAGTCCACAGCTAGAATCTAGGAAAGTACGGTGTACGAAGGCTTCATAGCCTTTTTATACTGTTTTAGTTGTAACTCTTAAACTAATCAAGATATTGATATATAAACTAATCAAGATATTGATATAATATATAAATATATGAATTATTCGTTTAAAAATTAAACTTGCTGCGGTACGCAGAACTTATATACAGAATACAGAGTTAAATATACACAATTATACACAAATTGAAGTTGATTGACTGACCTACATGCATACATACTTATAAGTGTATAAGAGTTTTATTTTCATTAAACCATTCTATATACATATAATATATTTTGGAACTCTTAAGCTAATTCAAGCTTAAGCTAATAAGAGTTTTTCAGCCTAATTGAGTAATCATCATTAGAATTTATCGGATTCAAATAATAAAATTCAATCCGGAAATATTTAATAAAAGTTTTTAAATGTTTTCATCACAAAAAATTGGACGAAATTTTATTTAATTGCATAATTAAAAATATGTAATCACTTTGTCAGCTTGCCTGTTTACTTAAGGGAGCTTTGACTGTATATAGAAACAAAACAGTAAAGTAGCCAATGGCAACAAGATTTACAGTATTTCCAAATACACATGTTATGAACGCTACATATAACAGCAGCACATATCTGCTATATGGATGTATGCTTGTATGCGTGTATATACTTCAAAAGGAGATACACTGTACCAAGTTCTACATATAAAGCGTATATTTACATAGCGCTCACACACACACATACAGACATGGTGAGTTACAGGCATGTAGAAAGCAGAGCACGTCAGCTCCTGGTGGCTGGGCAATACACATGCATATATAACAAGCACGTATATGTGTGCATGCTTGCATGTGTGTTACATAGCGCGCGCTCGCTCTACCACATACGCACCCACAGCGCACGCAAGCAGCATGCGTGCACACACATACAAAGACACACTAAGTGTAATCCTATTTGCGTCCAAAAATAAAATGGAACGAATGAAAAATCCAACAAAGAAGCGACAAAGCTGCTGCTGCTGCTGCCGTCGCCGCTGCTGCTGCTGCTGCTGCTGCTGCTAGTCATGTTGCTGCTGCTGCTTCCTTTGCGCTAAAGATTTTACTGCTCGCTAAATCGACGACGACGACGACGACGACAGCGCCGTCAGCGCCAGCTGAGCTACTCTGCAGTTTTATCTAACCAATACCAATGCCAGTTCATCCACCAACACACAGCAACAGCAGCCACAGCCACAGCCACAGCCACAGCCACAGCTACAGCCGCAGCCGCAGCCCGCAGCGAGCACAGCTCTCACACTCACACATACATACACGCATACTCTGAGCAGAGGCAGCCATTGCGTTCTCTCTCACTGCCTTCGTCGCCGTTGCTCAGATGTCGATGTCGGAGTCAGCTGCTGCTGCGTTGCTGCCGCTGCCTCTGCTGCTGCCGCAGCCAGTGCCGCTGCTCTGACGCTGGCTCTTGGCGCTGCTCTGCGCTTTTATAAATACAATTTTATAGATGCGTTCAAATACAATTCAGAAGTCGAACCGAAAAGACGTCTTGAATTTGTTATTTAATTTTATAAACACATACATATTTTTTTTCTGTTATTGCTGCTTCATACACTTCTTCAAGTAATCGTCTGCATTCTTCTCAGTGCCAACACACACACAAACAGGCAGAGTGAGAGAGAGCGAGCGAAAGAGAGCAATACAGACACGCACAGACATTAGATAAAGCTGCCAGCGAGGCTCTGCCGAACGGTTGCGCCGCGGCTGCGCTCAGAACTCGTGTGCGCGTCAACGTGAGAGCATCTGCCGGCGCGCTGCGACAATATAACGGGATAAAGCAAAGCAGCAACTCACAAAAAAAATAACAGTGATACACAACGACAAAAATAAAAGGAAAAACATTTATTCGATTAAATTATATTATTTTATTTTATTTTAATTTTTTTTTAACTAAAATTAAACCAAAGAAACGTGCTACAAATTAATTATTTTTAACTATATTAATTGAGTGCAACGCAAAAAATTCAAAATAAATAAAAATAAAAACAAATACGCAAACGTGAAACCTAGTGAAAAACTCAAACCAAAAACAAACGAAAAGCAAAAACTAACAAGGAAAAAGATTATGAATTAAAAAATAATAACAAAATTCGAATGCCGCCGCCAAATTTCACAAAAAACCAAAACAAAACAAAGGTAAAAAATTGTTAACTAAAAAATTACCAACATTTTTTTTCTTGTGGCAATTTTCAAGTGTGAAAAGTGTGAAAAGCATTTATCCTGGATTATAAACTATATGTACATATGTATATAAATATATATAACATATATACCTTGGATTATAGACGAGTTTATTTTTATATCATTTATTTTTTATTTATTTATAAATCATTTATTTTTTTGTAATATTCTGCATTTAAAGTCTTAAATATTATTTCTGATATTTTGATTTGATTCCAAGTTTAGAAGCTTAGAAATAGCGGAAACTCGCTTGGAAGAAAACTCTCCAACTCATTCGTCAAAAATATCTGATAAGAAATTCAAAAAGTATTCCAAGTGAAAAATATTGAAGTTGACATTGGAAAATAATTAAAAAATTAAAGAACATTTTTTAATTTTTACTTTGTTATTTTTTAAAATTTGTATACAATTCTCCCGACTAATAACGATTGTCAAAGGTGATAAAAATAATTTAGGAATGTCCCAAATTATATCAAATACTTTTTCTTATTTCATAATATTACAGTCTACTCTCCAAAACGTAGGCACAATTTCTACACTTGCAACCTGAACTAAGCTAAAGTGTATTCCAGCAATGTCCCAATCAAATCTCCAAAATATACACAAATGTCTCCTTTTTCAAAACTGTCTAATTTACAAACTGATAGCTAGACGTCAGATTTAATCATTCTACATTAACTGTTCAAGTCTCCAAAACTTACACGCAAATCTCTCCTTCTCCAACTTTAACTAATATACAAAATAGCAGCTAGTCTCCACTTCAGACGAATATTTCATAGAACAGATTTCAACAATTGCCAATTCCTAGCAAAGTCTCCAAAATCTACACGCCTCACATCAATTACTGTTAGATTATAGAAGTCTCCACATAATTACAATTTCACCACTTCGTACACTTTTTCTGCAGAGTCTCCAAAAATATGAAATTATTTCTTCAATTGGAGAGAGCTGCCAAGTGACACACAGCGCCAGAGTGAGAGAGGGAGAGTAGTGGAAGGGAGGGGGCGGTTAGGGGCGTGTCTTTATCTCTAATGATTTAGCATGCGGCTGAGTCACGAACGAAATCGAATTCCGATTCGAAATCGACCAACCAAAATCGAAGAGCAAAGCCTACAAAAACAATAACAAAAACAAATAAAAAAAAACAAATAAGCAACAAAAACGTTATCGCTCCAAAGTTTTCTTTCAAAAATTGTCAACTTGTTATTGTTGTTGTTGGTGCTGCTGCTGTTGGATCGTTGCTCGTCGCCAATTGGAAATCCTAAGCAGCGACAGCAAAGCCAATTGATAACGGTAAATGTTAATGGGGAAATATGAACAGCGAATGGAAATGCAACAAATACAAAGCGCAAAGCGCACGAGCCGATAACAAATCAATACACAGCATGAGCGAGCAGGAGAGACAGAAAGAGGCAGAGGGAAAGGGAGAGGGAGAGAGCGCGCGCATGTATTCCCATTAGAGATGAGAGTAGCCGTCTCTTTGCTCACTCTCCTCCATTACTCATCTGCTCTGATTGGAATTTCTAGCGAAATGCATCCGTTTGCATTTCCCAGCTGCAAGCAGCAAAGAAAAACAAAAAAAGAAAAAAACATCGCAACTGTTTTGACAGCGTCTCGTTTAACCAATTCGTAGTAGCTCCACTTCCATCCTAACTCTGCCCACCCCGCTCCCTCTCACTTCATCGATCGATCGTTTGATCAGCTGTTCAGCTGAAATTGAGATACGATCTGTGCCGGGATTCGGTATTAGATTACGCGTAATCCAATCAGCGCACAGCACAAAGCAAGCAATTGGAATTTCAGTATACAAGAAATAGATGTTTAGTTCGCTTTTCCAATCAGCTTTCATTGCAAAATGCCAAGAATCCGATTAGACTTTGAGCAATAGCTAAATTCATATGAAAGCGAAGTCCATAGCGAAAGCTCAAAGTATCGAAGGCTCATGTCAGACTCTTAAACCTAATGTTAAATTGAACATGGAGTTTTATGCTGCCGCTAACTGAAAACGGCTTAGTTTCCTGTTGCTTATGTTTATCGTCACGTTAAAGCTAATGTCATACTTCTTCCCGTACTCTAGAGCAGCTAAACATGCGAATCATATGGTCGGATTAATGTTAATTTACAACTTTAACTTCCTGGTAAACCTCATTTTAAGGTTTTTATTACTATTTTGTGCTTCCAACTGCTTTTGCAATTATATATAATATGAAACTAATCTCCATGTTAAGCCTCCTGACAAATGTTAATCCATGTATAGAATGGTATTGAAAATATATATATTTCTGATGCTGCGAGACATTGTTGAGTTTGTGATAATGTCAAACTACCAGTTAAGTCTCATGTTAAAACACTCTTTTGTTGAGCTGTCAGCTCATGTTATACAAGGGTTAAAATTAATGTTAGAGCCGAGTTATAGATGCCACTCTAGTAAAATTGTCATGTTAAACCTGCTGCTTAAGCTCCACCCACATGAGATATGTCTGGTTATATTTACTTAAATGCTTATATGGAATTTTCAGATAAAGCTCATGTCAAAGTTAATGTTAAGTTTCTTTTGTTAAGCTGTTAGCTCATATTTTACTAAGCTTAAGACTCTTGCCCAAGTTCAGTTGTATTTGCTGAGTTATTGCAATGCTACGCCTGCTGTCAAAGCTTACGTCAAAGCCAATGTCAATTAAGCGTTTCAATTCTTTTTCTTCGTCCAGCAGCTAATCACAGCAGACAAGCAGCAGCCGTTTACGATCTCAATTAGCCAACTCTTAGAACGACAGCAGCAGCAAAAATGCTGGCCACACAGCAGCAACAGCAGCAGCAGCCACAGCAGCAACATACAGCGGCAGCAGCGACAGCAGCAGCAGTAACTCTTGAGGATGCGGTTATGGAGCGACAGCGTCGGGATTCCAGCACCTCGGAGTCGTCGCTGGAGCATCTGGATCTGGGGCGCACGCCAAAGAAGCTGAGCAGCAGCAGCGGTGCGCCGCAGCCGACGTCGACGCCGAATGTTGAGGCAACGTCGCGGAAACGCAAGATGCGACAGCAGCAGCAGCAGCAGCAGCAGCAGCAGCTGCAAATCTTGTACTCTGACGAGGAAGACGAACAACAGCAACAGCAGCAGCAGCAGCAGCAGCAACAGTTGCTGGAGTCGGTGCAGTCGATTCATCGCATACGCCACAAGCAGCGCCGCAGCGGCAATGCAGTCGCCGCCGCTGCCAGCGCCAGCATCGTGGTCGACTACAGCGTCGGCAGCGATGCCAGCTCGCTGCGCAAAAAGTTTCGTCTGAATCGCAGCAGCATCAGCACCCACAACGACGACCTCTCCGAGTCGGGCTTCGTCGATGGCAGCGGCTTCTTGCTCAGCGCCAGCGGCGTGGCTCAGTCGGCGGCGGCGACGGCGACGGCAGCGCAGCAGCAGCAACAGCAACAGCAGCAGCAGCAGCAGCAGTTGCAGCAGGGCTCCGGCAGCAGCTCGGGCGGCTCCTCGCCGCAAGGGCTCTGCCACTCGAGCGCCGAGTCGGGCATCAGCGCCGGCGACGAGCATATGAAATATGTCTGCCCCATCTGCGAGGTTGTCTCGGCCACGCCCCACGAGTTCACCAATCACATTCGATGCCACAACTATGCCAACGGCGACACCGAGAACTTCACCTGCCGCATTTGCTCCAAGGTAAGTGCCACTTTATTACAGGGTATTCAGCCAGTGCACTCCAATTCGAAAATACAGGGTATTGCGCGGTCTATTACTGCGCGAAAGCGCAACTTTCAGACACTCAGCCTTAGCACATTATTTACAGGGTATGTCGACAGTCGTCCACTAATATAAGGCGCCGTTACAGGGTATCTATAGCGCTGTAAATGACAAATAAACTAGGGTGTTTGTAGTCTGTCAGTGGATAGATATCTTATTAAAGGGTATCCAAACGGCTAACAAGTCTATGCTAACTATAGGGATCAATTACAGGGTATAACACATTACAGGGTATCTTTAAATTGCAAATTAGCAGGACAATTCAAGGGTATCTGAGTCACTTTAAAGCTTTGCTGCTCTCTTTCAGTCAGTTACAGGGTATAACACATTACAGGGTATCTATGACTTGTAATTGCTAGACAATTCAAGGGTATCTGAGTCACTTTAAAGCTTTGCTGCTCTCTTTCAGTCAGTTACAGGGTATAACACATTACAGGGTATCTTTAAGTTGCAAATTAGTCAGACAATTCAAGGGTATCTGAGTCACTTTAAAGCTTTGCTGCTTGCTTTCAGTCAGTTACAGGGTATTCCACATTACAGGGTATCTTTAAGTTGCAAATTAGTCAGACAATTCAAGGGTATCTGAGTCACTTTGCTGCTTGCTTTCAGTCAGTTACAGGGTATCTATTGTAAAGGATATAGATGATTACAGAGTATACAGGGTATACCCCATAGTCATGCATGCGTGCCATCAGTACAGGGTATTCAGACAGTCGACTACCCTTGAGCTGCACACACATACCAAATTCTTTTGCTTGAGCTTTGACTAACCGTAAATCCCATTCCACGCTCTTCCTCTCTCTCTCTCTCTCTCTCCCACTCTCCCTCTCCGCTATAGGTGCTCTCGTCAGCCTCCTCGCTGGACAGACACGTCCTGGTGCACACCGGGGAGCGACCCTTCAACTGTCGCTATTGCCACCTGACCTTCACGACAAATGGAAACATGCATCGGCACATGCGCACGCACAAGCAGCATCAGCAGCAGCAGCAGCAGCAGCAGCAGTCACAGCAGTCACAGCAGCAGCAGCAGCAGCAGCCACAGCAGCAGCAGCCGCAGCAGCAACAGCAGCAGTTGCAGCGACACCAGCAACATGCGGCCTCAAATGCGGTGGCTCAGCGGGCCGAGAGCTATGAAAGCGATGCCAGTTGCTCCACGGACATATCCAGCAGCAGCAGCAGTGCAGCCAGCAACAACAACAACAACAACAACAGCCAAGCGAACAACAACAACAGTGAGGAGCAGCAACTGTTGCTGGCGTGCAAGCAGCAGCAGCTGAAAACAAACATCAACAACAACAACATCATTGTAAGCGATGAACGAGCGCTGGATGCCGATGCAGATGGGGATGGGGAGGCCGACGATGATGTGGATGGAGAGGCTGCCGATGGCGAGAGCGTGGACGTGGCACAGATGATAACGAGCACGCCCGATGTGGCCACATTGCTGGCAACGTCGTCGGGCAACAGCAGCCCGACGACGCCCGAGCCTGAGTCGGAGGCGCTGCTCGGCTGCCCCGTCTGCAGTGCCGATGAGTTCGAGACGCGTGCGGCGCTGTACGCCCACTTGGAGGCGGAGCACGCCGATATACCGGCCAAGTGCCGCGAGTGCCAGGTGATCTTTGCCACACAGCGGCAGCTGCAGGCGCATAGCTGTCGCGGCTTGCAGCTGCCGCCGCTGCTGGGCGCCAGCTCCTCGCCGCTGCACAAGCAGGAGCCAGCGGAAGAGGACGAGGATGAGCAGCAGCAGCAGCAGCACCAGCACCAGCACGAGGATGAGGCAGACGGCGACGACGACGAGGACGAGATGCGACTGCAGGCGAACAGCGAGCGGGATGAGTTCTTTCAGCAACTGTATCTGAAGGGCAAGTCGGGCGGCTCCTCGCTGCCGTCGCCCATCAAGCACGAGCCATCGGAGCAGCGCCAGGATCTGGCCGATATACAGAGCATCCTGCAAATGACCAGCTCCAGCTGCACGTCCAGCTTCTTGCGCAACTTCGAGCACAACGTGAACACGCCCTGCTCCAGCCAGTACAGCGTGGACGGGCGCGATGGCGAGGAGGAGGCCCAGGACGCGTTCACCAGCGAGTTCCGGCGCATGAAGCTGCGCGGCGAATTCCCCTGCAAGCTCTGCTCGGCCGTCTTTCCCAATCTGCGCGCGCTCAAGGGCCACAATCGCGTCCACCTGGCGGCCGTCGGCGCCGCCGGGCCCTTTCGCTGCAACATGTGCCCCTATGCCGTCTGCGACAAGGCGGCTCTGGTGCGGCACATGCGCACCCACAACGGCGACCGGCCCTACGAGTGCGCCGTCTGCAACTACGCCTTCACCACGAAGGCCAACTGCGAGCGGCATCTGCGCAATCGGCACGGCAAGACGAGCCGCGACGAGGTGAAGCGCGCCATCGTCTATCATCCGGCTGAGGATGCCAGCTGCGAGGATATCAAGCCCAAGCTGGATCCGGATCTGTCGGAGCTCAGCTTTCGCTCGCTCAGTCCCTCGCCGTCGACCACGAATGCCGAGCCGAGCTCCCAGCTGAAGCACATGCTGCTGGCAGAGCAGCCCAGCAAACAGCAGCAGCAGCAGCAGCAGCAACAGTCGCCGCAGCAGCAGCAGCAGCCGGCGCAGCCTGCCCTGAAGATTCAGGTGAAGAGCTTGGACCAGCTGGTGGAGAAGCCGCTGGCACCTGCCATGGATCTGAGCATGGATGTGCTGGATCTAAGCAAGAAGCCGCAGCGCGAGCATGACGTGCTCTTGCAGCAGCAGCAGCAGCAGCAGCAACAGCAGCAGCAGCAGCAGCAGCAACAATTGCTCTTCAATCCAGGTGATGCTGCCACACAGTACATGCAGCTGCTGCGCAACCTGATGCTGCAGCAATCGTCCGGCTTTCCGTTCTTTGGCCTGATGGCGCCGCCGCCAGCGGCAGCAGCTGCGCTGGAGAAGTCAGCGCCGGCGTTGGCAGTGCCAGCGACAGCAGCAACAGTTGCTGCAGTGCCGCCGCCTCTGGGCCTGCCACTGGGCGGCCTGGGCGTGCCGGTGCCAGCGGCCGGGCCCGTCAAGATGGTCATCAAGAACGGCGTGCTGATGCCCAAGCAGAAGCAGCGTCGCTATCGCACCGAGCGGCCCTTCGCCTGCGAGCACTGCTCGGCCAGATTCACGCTGCGCTCCAACATGGAGCGCCACGTCAAGCAGCAGCATCCGCAGTTCTATGCGCAGCGCCAGCGCAGCGGGCATCATGTGATGCGTGGACGCGCCGCCAACTCGGGTGCAGCGGCAGCAGCAGCGGCGGCGGCGGCAGCGGCAGCCGCAGCAGCAGCCATGACAAATCTGCATCAGCAGCAGCAGCAGCAGCAGCAGCAACATGCGCCCATATCGGAGCAGGTGAAATACGCGATATTGGCGCAGCAGCTGAAGGCGCGCAAGGATACGGACTTGCTGCAGCAGGCGCTGGCGCATGGCTCTAGCAGCGTCGTCGTCAATCCATTGCTGCACTTTGGCTACAACAACAACGGCAGCAGCAGCAGCAACAATGGCAACGGCAGCAGCAGCAGCAGCAATCAGGCGCAGCAGCAACAGCTGCCCGTGGATGACGATGAGCCGCCCAAGCTGATCATAGACGAAGACGATGAAGAGGAGTTTGATGACATAGACGAGGAGGAGGAGGAGGAGGAGGAGGAGGACGAGTTGGAGCAGGACGAGCAACAGCAGCAGCAGCAGCAGCAGGCGGAAGAGCAGCAACAACAACTGGAGCAAGTGCAGCCCATTGAGGTGGACGCCAAGGACGAGCCAGAGCCGCGCGCCGAGGCAAGCGAGCCGAAAGCCAAGCCCAGTGGCGAGCCAACGACTATGAAGACAATGATTGCCCAAGCCGAGTCGGTGGCCAAGTCCCTGAAAGAGGTGGCCAGCTCGCCGTTCAAGGACGAATCTCAGGACCTGGTGCCGGTGGCCAAGCTGGTGGACAATGCCACCAGCAACCAGGTGTCGTTCCACAGCTACTTTCGGCCCAGCGATGTGGCCAATCACATGGAGCAGAGCGACGAGGAGGGCCTCGTCGCCTCCGGCAGCGCCAGCGAGAGCAACAACTCCGGCACCGAAGACGTCACCAGCAGCAGCAGCTGCAGCGAGCCGAAGAAGAAGTCCGCCTACAGCCTGGCCCCGAACCGCGTCAGCTGCCCCTACTGCCAGCGCATGTTCCCCTGGAGCAGCTCGCTGCGTCGCCACATCCTGACCCACACGGGCCAGAAGCCGTTCAAGTGCTCCCATTGCCCGCTGCTGTTCACCACGAAGAGCAACTGCGATCGCCATCTGCTGCGCAAGCACGGCAACGTCGAGTCCGCCATGTCGGTCTATGTGCCCACCGAGGACGTCAGCGAGCCGATACCCGTGCCCAAGTCGGTCGAGGAGATCGAGCTGGAGGAGCAGCGCCGCCGCAAAGCGGCCGAAAAGGAGCGCCAGCTGGAGCTGGAGCGGGAGCGCGAACGCGAGCGTGAACTGGAGCTGGAGCGCGAACGTGAACTGGAACGGGAGCGCAAGCAGCAACAGCTCATCCTGACCGCAGCCGCTCAGCTCAACCAGCAAATGGTGGCAGCTGCCCAAGCGGCCCAAGCAGCTGCCGCAGCCCAAGCCGCAGCTGCCCTCAGCAGCACCGCAGCCGAGGCCAATGGCAGCGAGCTGCCCTACAAGTGTCACCTGTGCGAGTACTCGTTCGGCGAGCGGCTGCAGTGCCTCGACCACATCAAGCAGCAGCACGCGCAGGAGTTCGCCCTGCTGCTGGCCAAGGGCGCCATCGAAACGGAGCAGGAGGCGGCAGCGACAACAGCAACAGCTGCCGCTGCCGCTGCATCCAATGCCGCCGTCTCTGAGGACGAGTCCGGCACTGGACGCAGCTCTGGCAAGTATCCGGACTACAGCAATCGCAAGGTGATCTGCGCCTTCTGCGTGCGTCGCTTCTGGTCCACGGAGGACCTGCGCCGTCACATGCGCACCCACTCGGGCGAGCGGCCGTTCCAGTGCGAGATCTGCCTGCGCAAGTTCACGCTGAAGCACAGCATGCTGCGGCACATGAAGAAGCACAGCGGACGCAGTCACAATGGGGAGCAGGGCGGCTCCGACTGCTCCGACGATGAGCAAATGGCAACGCCGCCGACGACACCAACGCCCACGGCCATGCCCATGCCCATGCCAATGCCCAGCAACAACAACAACAACAACACTTGCCACAACAACAACAACAACAACAACGGCAGCAGCAAGAGCCTGCGTCTGCCCAAGCTGCACGAGCTGCTGGACAAGGCGAACGAGTGGCGCGTCAGCCGCCTGGGCGAGCACAAGGAAAACATTGCCGAATCCTCAGCGCCCACAACAGCGGCAGCCGTCGGCGTGGGCGTGGGCGTGGCCAGCGGCGATTTCCTCGGCAATCTGCTGGGCATCACCGACCAAGGCATACTCAACAAGCTGCTCAGCTCGCCCGACGAGGCGGCCAAGCTGCTGGGCGTCGAAAAGTGAAAGGAAACCAACAAAATTAAACAGAGGCGTTGGAGGCGCACCCTCTAAGCCAGCTCAGTAGTCCTAGTCTTAGACAGCTAGCAAAAAGAAACAAAACATGAAATAAGCAAGCTACACAAATATCTATAACTATCTATATATAGATCTATATATCTGAGTTTGATTTGAGAACTTCAAAATTTCACAAAAAAAAAAATATTTTTTTTTTAAATAATATTTTCAAATCAAACTCACAAAAAAAAAAAAAATATATATATATATATATATATATACATATATATATACATATATATATAATCTTAATATACAGCGAATTTTGAACTGTAAGCGAGAGAGAGAGAGAGAAAGAGTTGAAGAGTTGAAAGTCTCTCGCCCTACATATACCAAAGCCTAAATAGTTCGTTTTTTTTTTGTCTTACTCTTAACTGAAGAACACACATATTTTTTTTCTTAGTGTAAGTTGTAGTCTAACGGTACAACCGGCAGGCGTGCGCCTGCGTCAAGCTAGCGCCACAATTAATCAAAAACTTAATGCAAAAATAGGCAGAAAAAAATTATACAAATATTTTTTTTTATACGTAATATATTTAACAGTGCTTAAAAAAGACTTAAAAAATATAAAAAAAAAAAAACATAAAAAAATGAAAAAAAAAATAGAAAAAATGTAAAAAAAAAATATATTTAGCTGTATATGAAATTTGCCTACGTAGTGCTCTTCTTCTACCTACATATAGCGATAAGCATATGTTTATATATATATACACACATATATATATATATATATATATATATATATATCCAATACTATATAACTGATTTATCCTGTACATTTTCTGAGGCCTTCAACCGCAGCGTGGCTTAACTTAAATATTTAAAATAAACAAAGCAAGGAAAATGCTCTTCAAAGCATTCCATATTAATTATTACAATTCTAGTCGTAAGCGCTATTTTTTTTTATATATTATTATTATTATATAAATCACTTAACATAAAAACTATATTACTATAAAAAGGTAAAGAAAACAAGAAAAAACTCATAAAGGCATGCGAAATACATTGGAATCAATTTTTTTGGAATTAATTTTAAAAACTTTTATGCATAATTACACAATATATATAAAGTGCTATATATATACAGTTATATCTGTATATATATATATATATATTTATATAAAGTAGTCGAAACATTTTACAGCAATAACCAAAGCATTTCAACACGAGTTTTCTAACTATTTTATGAAAGAGAAACAACAAAACAAAAACAAAAACAACAACAAGAAATGATTGAACAAATTAAATTATGTACTTAGCGTTTAGCGTACTTAACTAAATTAATTAATTAACTATTTACGTCTTAATTGATATGACAATTCAAAACAAATAAAAGTTGCGAACAAAAATAAACAAATTTTTTTTCAATTTAAACTCGAACTTTAGCTTTACCTTTCTAGAAAAAAAATGTTAATTATTTCAATGCTCGCCTAAGCTAGATTAAGCAAAAAAATTAAAAACTTCAAGAATTTTATCATTTAAAAAATTAAATACGAAAATGTAATAAACAAAAGTATAAATAGCCGAGTAACAAACCAGTTTTGAGCCGCAACCAAGAATTGAACCAGTTTTACACTGCAGATAACCACGTGTTCACACCAACTGATTGGATGGGGTTTGTAACTTTATTAAATTAGCAAATTTGTTTTGAGCTGCAGCCAAGACTTGAACCAGATACAATCTGTATTAGCATGTACAAAAACCATATAATTCAGCTAACCGTTATAGATTGTTTAGCTAATGCTAGTTTGGCTTACAACTTCGATAAGCGATCAGAGACAGTCAAGACCCTAAGCACGAGCTCAAACCATATACTTGATATATGCAACAATACAAAATATATTGCACAGCAATTTCTTATTGGGTTTGTAACCTTAATAAAATGATCAAACGCTCGAAAGCAGACTTTGATTTAATAAGCAAACAGCCGAGGCAGAGTCAACACGTATATAAGTGCAGCAAAAAGTATGCTAATATATTATTTAGGTTTCTTTAACTTGTGTATTTATCTTTTTATGCATACACATAAATCAAACTTAAACATGTTTATTTATTAAAAATGTCTTAGCTTTTACACGTATAAGTTTTAGGTTTGTGTGTGCAAATATATATATAATGTATATAAATACACAGTTAATAAAATACATACGTATATGAGCATACACACACACACACACATTAATGCGGCCACACATGATTTTAAATATTACACGTGCGAACAATCATAAATAAATACGCATTTTCACACAAACATATACATATACGTACGTATATACATATGTGTACACACAAAGATAAATCAATCTATTTACGTGTACATATATATGTATGCGCGTCAACTTAAGCGCCAGTGCGTGTGCCTCTTCGAACGTCGCAAAAAATAAAAAAACAAAACACACACATAGACACATACATATACTAGCGAGCCCCCAACGAATTAGAGTAAAAGCAAAAACAACAACAGTGCTGTTTCAAGTTCTTGGCTACAAAAGCACAGACACACATGCACACACACGAACGCATATACAGCTGTGCTTGTGTACTCGTCTAATAAAGTGGTTCGACCAACCGACGATTCGCCGGCTTCGCCCGTTGCCGTCGCCTCGTATATCAACAATCACACCACACGCGCGCGTTGGGACCGTAACTTGGCACAGCCTCAGCTTTTGCTTTCAGTTCTAGTGAGACCATTGGTTGGGCCAGCCGCAGTAGCTACAGCAGCAACACACGCGTTTCCAGCCGGAGCTTCCATTGTCCAGAATCCCAGACCTTACATATCCATCACCTGTGTCAAGATGTCCTTTGTGCGTCTAATTGGTGCTGAGGTAAGAAATTATAGTTGCATATGCTATCAAGAACTATCGATAACAATTGCGCAGTGTTGAAAAGTTTAAAGGGGGTGGGCGGTGTACACTTGTAAGTGCACTAGAAAGTGGGCGTCCGTGTGTGTGCGTGTGTACGAATTGCATGTGCATGCAAATTAAAGTACACGTGCTTGTCTGTGTGCGAGTATGTGTGTGAGTGTTTACAAATTGTCCACATTAAACGGTAAAACGTGAAAAAAGAACTGACAATTTGATAGCACAAACACATGTTACGTAATTTTGGTTTGCTGCGATTCAGATAATGCGACGATCACAATAACGCAAGAAAGAACTAACGCACACACACACAAACACATATATGTATGTAACCATGCTTGTAACACAATTGTATTTTAATTAGACGGTAAGCCATATAAATAAATGCCTATCAAACGGGTGGCTGCTGCCACTGATAAGCAAAGGCATGGCATTTATCCCTTATATACAGATATATATATATATATATATATATATATATATGTGCATCCGTGTATGTGTGCCTGTGTATATATTATCATGTTGCCAGGCAAAGCCATGCTCACCTGTTGAATTAAAAGTAACGCAGTAAAACACTTGCAAGATTTGCGTATCATACACGCATACATATATACAGGAAGCCTGGCCCAAGTCGTCCAATAAGCGCAGGCGCGTTTGTCTTTTACGCAACTTTACTTTTTTGATGCAATTGTGGCAAAATTCTCGATGACATTTTTTTTTATACAGGAAAAGGGCTGCCACTTAACAAAATTATGTTGTACCTACATTTAAAACGAAATGTACCATTTTTTTATTCACATATATAATTTATAAAATATGTGTTATATTATGTCCTTGAAATGTGTGTTATATTATGTCCTTGATATGTGTGTTATATTATGTCCTTGAAATGAGAGGAAACATTGAAACATTATTATGTTGTTATGTCACCCAAAATAAATTTCGAAAAAACCAAAGTTAATTTTGCTTTCTCCATAGGGTTCAAATTTCTTATGGCCACGCCTATTTGCATATTCATTAATTACACTGAGAATGATTTAAGCAACTTTTATTTTGTGCAGAAATCATAATATATTTGTTAAAAAAAATACGTATTAGACAGATTTGGGTACAGTCGTCATACATGTGGGAGACGTGGCACGTAGGCCGCTAATAATTAAAAAAAAAACTTATATATGTGCATATATAAGAAAGAGATTAGTTAAAAAAAAAAGAGCAGCAAAAACATATAAAACTTACTTGAGTTTGTGTCCTTGATGTCCTTCGTACTTGGTACCTACAATTAAATAACGTATTAATTTGATATGCTTGACTTTTGAGAAGGAAGTGTGCCTTTAAGGTACAGTTTCCATTTGGTAGATGTGGCAACCTTTTTCAACAGATTCAAAAATATCTTTAATCGACTTATCGATATCATTAAATTATAATTAAATTCCTTTGCAGGCACGTTTGATTGCCAAGCGCAGCTACTCGTCTTCCGCTCCCACAACCAAGCTGTTCATCGATGGCAAATTTGTGGAGTCGAAGACCCATGATTGGATCGATGTGAAAGATCCAGCCACCGACAAAGTGGTTACCCGTGTGCCCAAGGCCACGGCAGAGGAAATGAAAGCTGCTCTGGAATCCAACAAGCGCGCCTTCAAGTCGTGGAGCAGCCAATCTGTGGTGTCACGTCAGCAGGTCATGTTCAAGCTACAGGCTTTGATTAAGGCCAACATGAGTGAGCTGGCCAAGAACATCACCAAGGAGCAGGGCAAAACTTTGGCCGATGCCGAGGGTGATGTGCTCCGTGGTCTCCAGGTTGTCGAGCACTGCTGCAGCATTCCATCGCTGCAGATGGGTGAGACAGTGGCCAATGTTGCCCGCGACATGGACACCTATTCGCTGGTCATGCCACTCGGTGTCACCGCCGGCATTGCTCCATTCAATTTCCCAGCTATGATTCCATTGTGGATGTTCCCCGTTGCCATTACCACGGGTAACACCATGTTGCTGAAACCCTCAGAGCGTGTGCCCGGTGCCACGATGTTGCTGATGGAGCTGCTCAACGAAGCCGGCTGCCCACCCGGTGTGGTCAATGTCATCCATGGTCAGCACGATGCCGTGAACTTCATTTGCGATGCACCCGAGATTAAGGCCGTCTCCTTTGTGGGCTCCGATACGGCGGGCAAGTACATCTACGAGCGCGCTGGCAAGAATGGCAAGCGTGTCCAGAGCAACATGGGCGCCAAGAATCACGGCGTTGTGCTCAGCGATGCCAACAAGGAAAACACGCTCAATCAGTTGGCTGGCGCCGCCTTTGGCGCTGCCGGACAGCGTTGCATGGCCCTGTCGACGGCTGTGTTTGTGGGTGAAGCTCAGAAATGGATCCCCGATCTGGTTGAGCGTGCAAAGAAGCTGAAGGTCAATGCTGGCCATATGCCCGGCACAGATGTGGGACCAGTCATCAGCGACGCTTCTCGTAAGCGAATCAATGATCTGATTGAATCGGGCGTGAAGGAGGGCGCTAAGCTGATCCTCGATGGCAGGAAGATCACTGTGCCCGGCTATGAGGATGGCTACTTTGTGGGCCCCACTATTTTGACCGATGTCAAGCCAAACATGCAGTGCTACACCGAGGAGATCTTTGGCCCTGTCCTGGTCATCCTTAATGCCGATACCCTGGACGATGCCATCTCAATTGTGAATGCCAATCCCTATGGAAATGGCACCGCCATCTTCACCACCAATGGTGCTGCTGCACGCAAGTTCGTCAACGAGATCGATGCCGGCCAAGTGGGCGTCAATGTGCCCATACCCGTGCCCTTGCCCATGTTCTCCTTCACTGGCACACGCGGCTCCTTCCGCGGCGATCATCACTTCTATGGCAAGCAGGGCATCAAGTTCTACACACAGACCAAGACCGTTACCCAGCTGTGGCGTGAAACAGATGTCAACCACACCCAGGCGGCTGTGGCCATGCCCACAATGAAGTAAACAAACACACACACATACACACACACTCCTACAGTCTTGCACTCGTGTAGTGTGAACTGTGGAAGGGAATTGCTGCATTTATTTTCTGTGCCTGTTAATTAGAATTAAGCTAAATGTAAAATTGTAAATCAAAACGCGTAAAACCAAAATAAAATGATTAAATCCAAAAAAAAAACGCCACAGAATCAGCTGATCGGCAGAAATCGAAGGTTCAAACAGGGTGGCAACGCTTACTAATAAGCAAACACCTCCAATCGAAAGATCGAACAAGGTGGCAGCGCTTCTCTATGGCGCATTGATTTAAAGTTAAATATCAACATATCTGCGGCTGTGTAACAAAATGTAATTATTGCTTATTCATTTGCCTAACTTAAATCAACTTTTATTTTATTATTAAGAACAAAGATAAAAATAATCCACTCAGGCGGCTGATCGAGAGCAACCAAAGCTGTAACCAGCTGGCAACGCTTGGTCATGCCGCGAAATTAAAGACATTCAAAATTTTTAAGGCACATCTGAAACTCAATGTAAAATTTGTCCATTTATTAACTTAACATTATTTCATTAACTTTAACATTTAGAATTTGCTTCTTTAAACAATTCAACACTGGATTGAACTAAGTCTCCACCGGTCATAAACAGATTGGAACAGAGCTCGACAATATGCTTAGTTGATTTTGTAAAAATAATAACAATCTTTTGTAAATTTGTCTTGTCTGGCAATATACTACTATATGTATACACATATGTATAAATATATGAACACCTTGTGAAGTTTTCGCGATGCGTTAAGAACTACGGCTTGCTTCCAAGTGCTTGTTTGGATACCAGCTCCTTGAATACGCCATTTGACTTGTTCATCAGTTGCCCAAAGGTACCTTCCTCCACAACACGTCCATCATCAATGACAGCTATTTTGTGTGCTTGATGTATTGTGCTTAGACGATGAGCAATGGTAATCACAGTTCGTCCTCGGATGAGCTTTTCCAGCGCCGTCTGCACCAGCTCCTCCGAAACGGCATCCAGTGCACTTGTCGCCTCATCCAGGATGAGTATGGTGGGATTCTATGACAAATAAGTTCATTAGAATATAAATATATATGCATAATATATATATAATACTTTAATGAGCGCCCTGGCAATGGCTACACGTTGCTTTTGTCCGCCACTCAAAAGGATTCCCCTTTGGCCCACAATAGTTTCTAGACCATCGGGCAGATGGCTGACAAATTCGTTGACATTTGAGTCCCTGACCACTTTTTGGAATAGCTGCTCATCGGGCACCTTATCAGGCTGCAGACCGTACAGTATGTTCGAGCGTATGGACCCGGAGAAGAGTACAGGCTCCTGGCTGACAGCGCTTACATGTTGACGTAACCAATGTGGATTCAATGTTTTCAAATCGACTCCATCCAGGTAGATGGCACCCTGCTGCGGATCATACAGACGCATCAGAAGCATTGCCGTCGTTGATTTGCCCGACCCGGAGCGGCCCACCAAGGCGGTCGTCTCATTTGGATTTAACTTAAGCGAGAAATCCGATAGCACTTTGCTGTCCACGCGAGACGGGTATGCAAAGCTAATGTTGCGAAATTCAACTTCGCCAATCGCCTCGGTCGTTGGCATAATGCCCTTATCAATCGGCATGGCATACTCCCTATCCATGATCTCCCAAATCCGCTGCGAAGCGCCAATCCCTTTGTTGAGCTGACTGTAGAAGTTGGACAGGCCATTCATGGCGACAGCTGAATAGCCGGCATACAGCATAAACGAGGTCATGGCCCCAATGGAGAGCTCCTCGTTGAGCACCAAAGTGCCACCATAGTAAAGCACCGATATGATGACCACGTTACCTGAGAAGCCAGTCTGACAACAACAGAAAACTGATCTAAGCTGAGATTTCAATTGGAGTTGACATTCAACTAGCTCACCAGACCAAAGAATACAGATCTAGCTTTTGTCTCCTTGTAGCCAATTTGGATGGCTTCGTCAAGTTGCTTGTCATACTCCGCGCACTCAGAGTTCTCGCGACCGAACACCTTGACGGTGCGCACATTGCCGAAACGCTCCTCGGCATGCTTCATCACTTCCGCAAATTTATCCATTTCGGTTTTGGTTATGCGACGCACATAACGTCCATAGACGATGGCAATACCAGCCAGGGCGGGCACAATCAAAGCGCTGATAAGCGCCAGTTTGGCCGACGTATAGACCTAAGAGTGTAAGGAGAGAGAGAGAGAGAGAGAGGGGGGAGATGGAATACTCTGTAATTGATAGTTAGATGAATGCAATGGACGCACCATCATGAAGGCGCCAACACCAATCATGGCCAGCGAGCGAAAGCCATCGGAAATGTTCTGACTAAGCGAGGTGCCCACAAAGTAAGTGTCGTTGCTCAAGCGATTGACGAGCTCGCCAGTGCCGCGTGTATCGAACCAGGACACCTCCTGCATCAGCATTGATCGATACAATCTGGAGCGCAGTCTGCGCACAATGCGCAAAGCTGTGCGGAGTAAAGTGGTGCAGCAAGCATAAAAAGAAAGAAAGAGAAAGTCGAATTGTGGTGCGAACTCACCTGCGGAGCCAAATAAATAAACTCGGGAGAAGTTGGCCAGGCCGCCAATGACAAAAATGCCGACGAGCATCTTGGAGTAGTCCTGCAAAGAGCTTACGGCCGATTCGTCCATACCATTCTTATTGAACACTATATCAATGACCTTCCCCAGGAAGTAGGGTACGCTCATGGTGATGGTCGAGGAGATGACCAAGCAAGCAAGCCCCACTGCAACGAAATAAACCTAATCGTATGAGCGGCACACTTTGGCTAGAGCGATTGATGGCGGGCCGTACTTAGGAGCACCCACTTCTCTTCCTTCATCATACGGATGAGACGTGAGGTCGCGAATTTGGCGTTCTCAATGACGGACCCCATTTTGGGTTCTGGCAGCTTCGCATCTTGGCTGCTCATGCATCGTCGTACGTTGAGCAAACGTGCCGTCCATCTGGATGACCGAACACCTGCTCCAACAGAGCCTGTCGGCAGGGAAGAAGATGGGGAGCTAAGCAGCTGCCGGCCAGCAGGCGGTCGAATGTTATATAGATGATGATGATGATGATGTTGCCGCCTTAGCATATAGTTGTGTATGCTAGACGAATTCATTGGAAATCTGCGGACTACGCAAGGTATTTGGGTAATTCGTAATGTTGTGCACATGTGCTTCACCCTGGTGCAGTTCAACAGCATTGTGATTTTGTGCAATTTCTTTCTATTTTATACAACAAGAATTCGTACAGTAAGCTTTGACTTTAGAGTTACACCACCATTCATTTATATGTTATAATATTGTGTACAAGTAAAATACGTGAATTTTGACCCCCACTCAAACGGTCCACAAAACACAACTAAAACAGCTGATGGATGCATGTATATTAACAGTTGAAAGATAGCACACAGCGATCACAGATATCGATAGAAATTTGTGACGTCAGCTCGTACTGAGTGGTAATCGGTTGTTAACAGAAACCAACTCAAGCTGACTGTTTGATGACTGTTACATATCAAAGTTAAGTATATTTTTTTATTTTTTTCACATAATTAAAGTTTAAGTATTCAAAAATTAATAAACTACTTATTTGAATTGACCTATTTTGAAAACATATTGTTTTTGCCTACTTTTATTTACTGAAAATCAGATAAAATACAATAAGATATACTTAACAGATCATATACATAAATAAGATTGTTACATTAAGTAACAGAAACGAATTGCTTTGCGTTACTTATTTTATTTATATTATTTTACAGAGTTGTACAGCACTTTTGCACAATGCCAATCGATAACAGCCGCTAGGCTCAACACGTGCGCTAAACGTAATCGCTATCGAAATTTGTATTTGCAACATGGAAATAGGCGAAGGTAACTTGCGATCTTAAACAAGAAGGTTTTTTATTAAATGAAACATTGCAGAGTTACGAATATGGCTGCAAGACACGAACAAAGCGTACACAGCACGCCTGGAATTCGCAATTAAAGTCTGGCAATCACTGGACTTTGTGTATGTAAACAAACACGAAGTCGTTTGCAAATGGCTCGCAGAGACGATCGCCGAGCAGGTGGAACTGCCCGTGGAGCAGCTGCAGCAACTGTTCAGCCTGCGTGCTCAGCCGGGTCTGGTAAGTGTCGCCACAAAATCGGCATTAATTGAATCGATCTTGCAATGCATCGACAAAGCAGCTCCAGCCGAGGCAAAGGCGCATCCACAGCTGCTGCAATGCCTACTCAACTTTGAGCTGGTGCAGGATGCACTGCGTGCCGACTACGATCTGGTCATGAGAAGCTATGGCACACTCTTCAGCTGCTACGAGCGACAGCTGCTGATTGTTAATGTAAACGAGCCAAAGCCGCGACATGCTGACTTTATGCTGCCTCTGCTGCAGCAGCTGCGCGACTATGTGCAACGAGCCCAGCATCAGGAGCGTCTGCTTAAGGCGTATGTGGGTGGGGCACTACAGCCGCTATGCCAGCTATTGCTACAGCTGCGAGAGCATGGATTTTGCTGCTTCGAACAGCTAGCCGCCTTGGAGATGCAGCTGACCGAGCATCTGGATATAAGTGCTGCATGCGATCTAATGTCTGAGCAGCCCTTGCATGTGCATATGCTAGTAATGGAATGTGCGCTGCTCAACCATCGCTACAGTCCGCAAAAGCTATACAAATTGATAACTCGAATCGTAAAACATCAAAGCTCGGACAAGAAGGATGAAGACGGCAATGTAGTGCAGACCAAGTGCAAGAATAGCTCCTTGGCTCTACTATTGACCACACATGCATTGGAGGCTCTGCGTCGCCACAACATCCAGCTCAACTTTCCCGATAAGATCAAGCACACGGGCATCATCTATGTAAGCAAGGAGTTGATCGGCCTCGTCCGCAACAATCGGGATCAGCAGCTGGGTAAGGTGCTGCAGCTGCTCTGTGCGGCGTTGCGTCTTAATCCATTGCTGGTGGAACCGAATGTCTATCAGTTTACCATTTGGATGATGTGCGCGATCAAGCGTAACGATCTGGAGCTGCAACTGTATTCCGATTATCTCGTCCTGCTGCTGGACATGTGCCGACGCATGAGTCGCACCGAACGCTTTGTTATGAACGTGCTGAAATCACTGCGCGAATGGCTGCACAAATACGAACTGCCCAACTGGGAGACGGGCAAGCGCAGTCGCCAAGAGCCACAGCAGACCGAGACCGAGACCGCGAAGGAGCAGCAGCAAGTGGATAGCTATGTGCAGCTCCTATTCAAACAGAATTGCAACTCGCATTCAAATGTAATCGGCTATAGTACGGATGCCTTGGCACAGACCTGGCCAAGCGCCACAGCCGGCGCCGCCTTCATTCGGCTGATCAGTCAGCTCATGTCCAAGCCGTCGATTGTCATCTGGAAAAGTATTTTGCACAGCTTTGCCGAGCTGCTGGAGCCGAATACAAAGGCCGTCCTGCCGTGCAATCTAAATTTTGCCATCGAGCTGCAGGCGACGTTGCTTTCGCAATACTTGCTCGGCACTCGGCTAGTGGAGCATGTGCAGCAGCATCATCTGGAAGTGGAGCAACAGCGCAAGCACACTGTTCAAGTTCTTCAGCAATTCGGACGCCACTTGCTGTCGCTGGAGCACAATCGACGCACGATGAACGTCTTCCTGGAGTGTGTGGAGCGTGCGAATAACTTTGATCTGCTCCTGGCCTACTATTGGCCAGATGGCTTGGCACCGATGCAATCGGACCCGGCGCTGCCGCAGCTCCAGCGTTTTCTCTCCAGCGACGAATGGGAGCTGATACAGCAGCGAGTGCATAACTTTGGCAAATCTGTGTGCCGACAGCGCTTGCAGCGTCTCGAGCTGCAGCTCACACAAGCCGGCTGGCTACTCCTGCCCAATCAGCGGCTGGAGCCGTGTCCGGATGCATTGGTGCAGCTGCTGCCACAGCAGCTCTTCAGCCACCTGACACGTGCCCAAAAAGAAATGCGATTGCAGCAGCAGCAACAGCAGCAGTTGCCCCATCTTCTGGAGGATGTCGAGTGCGTGGAGCTGCTGACCATGCAGCTGCTGCAGCAGTTTGTTGACAGCTTGAAGCTGGCCAAGATCAAGGGCAGCCTGTTGGCCAAACAGCTGCCACAGGCGACAGATGAAACAGCCCTGGCACTAACACTGCGCGAGAGCTGTGAGAGCACAAAGCAACCTGCGCTGCCGCCTGCATCCACGCAAGAGCTAATTGATGCACTGCAGCAGCTGCCGCTGGCACAGCTGCAAAGCAGCATCAAGCTACGCCTCTGGCTGCTCATCTTCACGCTCTACCAGGATGTGCGACGGGCCCAACTGTTGCAGCTATCCAATCAGCTGCTCGATCAGCTCATAGGTGTGTCTCCTCAACTCTATATATGGACATCCTCTCATGCTCTCTTCTTTTAGATCTTTTGCATTTTGGTCAACCTTTGCCGCTGTGCAGCCATCTGCCAGAGCTGTCGCAGCTATTGCAGCTGGTGCCGCTCAATGTGGAGCCGGAGACGGAGCCGGAGGCGGAGGCGGACACGGATGAGACTGAGTCCAACTCCAGTGCCTGGCGTTTCTATGAGATGTTCTTTGGTCGCTGCATACGTCGCCTGACGCCCGGCAGCGATGTCTTTCTGGCTAGCTGTGCCTCGCTCTTCCGCGAGCAGCTGCCACAACTGTCTGCCTCGCACTGCCGCCTGCTGCTGCTCGCCATTGAGACGCTGGCCAGCGGCACCGGCATGCAGGCGAGACGCATGCAGCGTCATCTGCAGCCGCTGCTCGAGATCTATGGCCAGTTTGTCAGTCACAAGTTTCGCTCGCACAAAAAATCGCCCGCCGTCTACAAGGAGTTTGTGCAACAGACACTCAGTGGCTATGCCATCTATCTGAGCAGCTGCATCAACCGTGCGGCCAAACAGCAGAAGGAGAATGTCGACGAGGCTAAGCTGCCGGCCACAGCGGATGCTGTGCAGGCCATCGATGAGAACTTTAGACGTATTTGCAAAATTTACATAGGACATTCGGTAAGCTTAACATGTGCTTGTGTGTGTGTGTGTTGTTTGTTCATGTGTGTGTGCAAGAAGCTTAGAACGCTAGACTATCAAATTGTCAACTTCAAAAAATCTGTCAAGCTTTAGCCAACAAATCTGTTCAATAATCCAAAAAATGTCATTTGCTATAGCAAAAGCTAACGCAACATATAACTCGTATAATATGACATGAAAGGGAAGGGCCATAGCATTTCAAAAAGTGCTGCCCATTTTGTATGTGCGTGCAAAATGGGCAACACTTTTTAGCTAACTAAAGAGAACTCAAATGTAATGTGAATATGAATCTGAATCAGAATTATAACTTAGACTTGCTTGAAGCCATTTTAATAGCTACAGGAACATTCCTTAAATACTCAATTAATCTTGGAACTCTTGCTTCAGCTGAATTATCGTAATGCCCATGCCATACGTCTGCTGAATGTGGCCTTAACGCATCGTCAGCTGTTGCATTTGGACCTGGACGAGATCGAGTTTGTGCTGGACAGCTATTGGCGGCAATTGAATGTGGATATTGCAGCCAGCTCAGCGCTGGACATGTCCAGCATTGAACCCGCCGTCAAGCTAATCATTGGCTATAAGACGAATGAGGATTTCTTGCTGCTGCTGCGACGACTGGCACAGCAGCTGGATGAGATGCAGCGGCCAGAGACACCAGCGCAGCATACGAGCCTGCAAAATGTGCTCGTCCTGGTGACGCTCTTTGCCAAATGCTCGCTGAGCAGCATCAAGGGAGCGGTGAGCGCGTTTTGCTTGTGCCTAGATCCTGACTTATCTCTCTTTCGCCCACTCTTGTTACAGATGCTCAATGAGCAGTTTGAGCTAATCAGCGGCAATGTTTCGTTGCGTCTGCCAGCGCTGGGTGATCCCGCCTATTGCAGTCATGTGCTACGCCTGCTGGAGGCACAGCGTGCCTTGGCCAGCAATCGAACTGTGCCGCTGACTGGCGAAACCCTGGACTCGATGCTGGGCAGCATGTTGGATCTGAATATCAAGCGTTTCATTACGGCCGGCGGCAGCTGGTTGGACTTTCGCCAGCTGCACGCTTTGCTGTCCGAGAACTGTTTGCTTCTGTTGCGCCAACATGCCACACTCATGTCGGATCGTGCCGCACAGCTGAGTGCCATCTGCCAGGATCTGGTGCAATCGATTGTCTGCTATCGCAGCGAGCGCAAACATGCGCAAAGTCTGACGGACGACGAGCTGGACGGCCTGGCCGAATTGGCACTGAAGCTAGTGACGCTCATGGCGGGCATTGCAGCGGGTCCACAGGCCTTGGCCATGAAGCGTGTGGCACCGTTTCTGCTCATCTTTACCATTAAGCAAATGATTGGCACCGAGCGACCCACGACGCTCTTCGAGAAGGTGGCTAGACAAAGCTTAACTATAAAGAATCCTGATTAATCTTTTGCTGTCTTCTTGCGCAGGTCAAATTGCACTTGGATCGCTTTTGTCACGAGCTAATCTCGATCTGTGATCATCGCTCGGGTCACTTCATACTGCGCGCCAGCAGCGAGGCAGGCGCACGCATGTATCAGAGCCTGGTCAAGGAGCACGACAAATACCACAAGTTCCGTGGAAAGGTGTGAGGAGGAGACGCAAGCAGTATCAAGGCTTGGGCTTATAGAGAAGGAAAATGCTTGTTTCTCGTTTTTTTTTTTCTTTAATGAATAAATGTGATTAACATCAAGTAAATTGCAACATCATTTTTGTACAATTTTATAAATTTAATTTGGATTCATGTATGTGTGTTTATGTGTGTACGTGTGTGTGTATATGTGTTAGTCTCTCCATCTCTTTCCTTGTAACTGTGTTCACAATTTGGACACGCAGAGCTTGGGGCAGTCGGCGAGAAAGAGAGAGAGAGCATTTTACAATAAGAATTTGCAATTGATGGTAGGATGGATAAATGAGTGTATTCACAATCAGCATTATATAAATTAATAATTTTCATAAAATTAATTATATCAGTTCTTTTTTTTGTTTTTTTTTCTTTTTTGGTAAGTTTCATTAGAATTTGAATAAAGAAATTTGATTTCTATATGAGTATATATAAGTGTATGTGTACGTGTACGTGTGTGTGCGCGAGCGTATATGTGTGTTGTGTATTAGTGTGTGTGTGTGTATTGGTGTTAGGTGCTAGTGGGTGTGTTAAGCTCGAACTGTGCCTGGATTTCTTTCCTTTCGATTTTGGAATTTTTTTGTTGATTTGATCAAGGCAGCTGCACAGCTTCATAACAGATGTTGCTTACTTAGTTTGATTTGTACTTCTTTTAGTTTATAATGTATACATATAGTTTTCTGTGTTATTGCACCTGCCTGCATATATGTGCGTATGTGTGTGCGCGTGTGTATGTGTGTGTGTGTGTATCTATAAATGTGTGTGCACACTCCACTTAGGCCACGAACATTTGACAGACTTCGCACAATGGATGCTCGGCTTCTTCCGGACGATTGCCGCTGGAAGAAAAGGAAGTAGGGAAAATGACAAAAATTAACTGTGATTGGCAGCACTTTTCGGTTCGTCAACTTACAACAGGGTGACACAAGTGCGGCATATAAATTGGCTGCATTCGACGCACGAATAGCCGCATTCTTCGCACAAATCGAATGTACAATTGACGCAAGTGCCGCGGATTAGAGTCAGGCGCTGGCAGCATGTAGATAGACGGCACTCCAGCCCCGGATTGGCGGCATCCGGATTCATGTCGCGTAGTATTATGTTGCCATCGCCAATCAGCTGATATTGCTCACATAAATTGACCGAACTAACGGCTATCGGTGGCGGGGTGCTTGCCTCCTCCTTCGGCTCCTCTTTGTTAGCATCGATGTTAGCGGCTGCCTTGAATAACATTTTCGTTGTTTTCTCTGTAGAATGTGCGTGTGTGAGTGTGTGTGTCTGTCTGAGTGTCAAATAAGTATTTTGTTGCTGTCCACTTACCATGTACCGCCTTCATTTTGTCAGGATCGCACGAATCGTTAATTTTCTCATTTACCCAGACTTTGGTTTGAGTTACATTATTGTTGCTCTCATCGTCGTCGGAGCGCATACGTTTCAATGGTTTGCCTTCCATTTTCTATTATTTTATTTTTTTTTTCAAATTTTTTTTTTTTAATTTTGCTTTTTGTCGTTTAGTTTAGAAACGTTCAGCCGGCTGCTTCTTTATGTCACTGCTGCTGCAACTCGAAAGACTATTTATTGATGACAGATAGACTGGCAGCAGTGGGGCCAGTGCTGCATTGTGCATTCAAGCAAGCAGACAAAAAGAGTGTTGGCTAACGCGCAAGCGTGCGTGCCTGCCTGCCTGCCTGCCTATCGAAATGTGGGTGCGCGCGCTTTGTGCTTTTTCGGCGAATGCTTTCAAATTTGTTTACTCAATATGGTTAGCGCACAAGACAAACGCACGCGCACGCGCACGCACACACAATTTGATTGTGTTACATATTTTGTATTATACGTATACATAACCATATATATTCATATTTATATACATATATGTGTATATACATTATATATATGTATATATATATACATATATGTATTTACTCACAAACTAGATTAGATCCACCGTGAAACGGCTAGGCTGTAGTGGCATCAGTTTGAATACAATATAATTTAGTTGTAGTTTTTATTTGTTTTATTCGTGTAGGTAACTCAAAATTTACAAATCGAAATGAACGTGAAATGAAATCGAAATGACTGAAGGCTAAGCTATATATATACTATATTCATATATGTATATATAATGTGTTGGCCTCAACAATCCTGAGCTAGCCTACTCTGATTTGATTTGATTTGATTTGGTTTGATTTGCTTTCTTTTTTCTTTTTTGGCTCCCTCTTTCAGTTTCATTCCCCTTTCTCTTTAGGCTTGCAAGCTGACATTTCGTTTGTTCCCATTGCGGCCCCTAACAAATTTACTAAGGTGCTCCTCGGCGTTGGGCTTCTTCAGAAACTCGTTGGTGCCACCGGCCGTTCCTCCCGATTTGTGCTTGTTGTGCTTCTTTTTAACGGATATATCCGATTTGGATGTGGATGGCGTTGCACCGTCCAAGTGATGATAGTTGCTATTGTTCTCCTTTTTGGCAGCCAAACGCTGCTCGGCAGCCGCTTCACGTTTCTTGCGTACGAGCGCGAGGCGTGCGAGATCAGCGTTGGCCTCGCTGCTCGTTTTCTGATTCGAAGTGGAGCGCGGCTTCTCTCTGGCGCGGTCACGGCGACGCTTCTCAACCAATGGATCCTCAATGCTCTTGCCTTTAACATCTTCAGTTAATAGCGCCAACTTGATTGATGGTTTCTTAACGGGGCGATTCGGGTTCGATATTTCAATTAGTCCTTCCACAGCTCCACCCAATTTGCGACCCTTTGTTAGGCCATTGAGATGACCATCGCCATCGCCATTGACATTGCCATTGCCATCGCAATTGCCGTTGCCATTGATATTAGCATCATTATTAAAACTATTATTACTAATACTATTATTATTACTACTAACACTATCATTGACATTGACATTGACATTGACATTGACATTGACATTGGCATTGACATTGACATTGCCATTGCCACTGGGATTCCCATTGTCATTGCCAAGTTCGCCGCTTTTGTCATTGCAATACTCGCTGCTGTTGTCACCATCATAGGTGGCCTCCTCAATGTTATTAATGCTCTCGGTAAACTTATTAATGTGCGATGACATTATGCACACATCCAACTCTTGTTCGCGCTGTAGCTCCTCGACTGGTGTAAATTGGCGGCTGCGGCCTTTATGATTTAAGAATTTTCCGCGTGGCATTTTTTTGTTATTTGAGTTAGTTTTCTTTTGTCGTTTCTTAGTTTCTCGTCTGAAAGCGTTAAAGATATACAATTATTATTGTTATTATTGAGTTAGTTGCAGTTTTTAGTTTTGTTAATTTACAAATTGATCGGCTCGTTACAGGGCGAAATCAATTACAAGTGAGGTCCGAAAACGAATTAGATAAGTCAATTCTAGCCAAACTAGATGATGTTTATTCCAAAGCTAGTTTAGAATTTGGCAGAACGCGCAAATGTATTAATGAATTCAAATGCGATAATATAATTGCATGCAACACCATTTGATGAATATCGATATGCCCTATAAATCGACTTTAACAGCTGTTGCTGTTAAGCTAATAGTAATTCAATAACGGTTGCCAAGCAAAAAGAAATTGGTTTGTTTTGGCAAAAATTAAAAGAAAATATTCCATTCCAAAATACTTATATATAAGTGCTATAATGCTATAACCATTTAAGTTGTGAATTCTTGAACTCCGAATGACTACCTTTATATTTATATATGTATATTAACATATAAACATGAATATATAATATAGTTATATATTTTAAATATATATATATATAGATATAGTTTTATATATGTATATATATATATATATATATATATATATATACATATATAAAACTATATCTATATTGTTTTCAATCAAAAGTGACAAATAAATGAAACAAATATTTGTATTTTCAGCTTTAGTTGTATTTTCAATTTACTGTTAGCAAAAAAAAAAAGTAAAAATATCGGTGTCCCCAACAGCCTAGTATCGAAAGTGCGGCGACATATCGCGGCGAATCGATGTTCACAAGTGTCGGCAACGCTTAACAGCACCGATTAGTCAAATAGAATTCGGTGGTCATGTTAATAGTAAGGCGCCGCACGTTAACAGAGGAGCACTCCACGCGTTTAACATAGCTGACTCGCCATTTAGAATAAAGAGAAGAAAACTAAAACCTATCGTAAATCGACTGTGCCGTGGTGCTGAAGTATATTGTGAAATTTAATTTCCATAACATTCGGACCATTGAGAAAACTCCTCCGGCAGTCCATCGCAAATTCCACGTACAGTATACAGAGAGGCGCGTATGCAACAGGTAACCAAAGCGATCGCACAGCGTGACATTTGCAGCAACAGCTGACGCAGACGATAAAAGAAGCCAGCCGCAAGAATAGCCGCATCGAAAGAGACGCAGTTAGTTTAGTGAATTTAATTAACTCCAAGTATTTCGCAAAACAAACAAAAGAAAATATGTCTGTGGACGAAAATACGCCCGTGCTGCGCGGTTGCATCAAATTGCCGCTGAATAAAGAGGAACTGATAGAGGTGACAGCCAAGGCCAAGGACTATGCGATCATGCATGGCGCCGCAATGCGGTCCAAAACCAGCTTCAGTCCGGACTCCCTAAATGTGAGTGTGTCTACACTATGTCTATAGTTCCGCAGGTAACAAAATCCACTCTCGATCTCCTTTTAGTTTGCGCCCTTTGTGTTGGTGCCGTCGTCCTTTCCGCGCAAGGAATTCGAGAAGGCAATTGTACTGCAGCCGATAATTAATCGATTAATGCACAATGTTGCGCACGATGAAGAATTTATCACGACGACGTTAGCGGAGACAATCAAAGTGGATGAGTTCACGGCAAATTTGTTTAATATCTATCGCAAGGTGCTAGCCCTTGGCTTTACCCAGGTGAGACATCTTGTTCGTCATCAGCCACGTCCACTCGCACTCACATCCACACACATACACTTACACCCTTACACACCTACATCCATGCCCATTGTCAGCACCCCATTGACCCAGGCATTTATCCATTCAGCTTTAGGGACTAGACTCCAATACAGGTATTTTGGGTGAACAGCTAAAGTGATTTCAATCGCTTGCACTCCCGCTCCACACCCCCAACACCCTACCACCCCACCCCCAGCACCCTCACCACTCTTTCTATATATGTTTGTTTCTGTTGCTCTTTGGCTCATATTCCATTATCTTATCGCCATATCATAAATCCTATAGCCAATATAGCCCAAACGGCTCAAAAAGCTAATCTCAAGCGTTGCCACATGATTTATGCGCACATCCTGGACAACTTGAGCACATAGCATCGTTGCTGCTGCTGCTGCTGCCGCTATTGCTGCTGTTCATCAACTCTGATAATTAATCGTCAAAAATAATGATTTTAATTTCTTCTAAAATGGATAAGTTCCTTTTTTACTTTCTTTTCGTCTTCTCTCTCCCTCTTTCTTTCTTTCTCTCTCTATCTTCCTTTTTTTGTGGTGCTGCTCCTAATGTTTGCGTTGTTGTTGTTATTGTTGTTGTCGCTGTTGATATGCCCAGCTTAACGTTTATCTATACAAAAAGAATACAAATACAAAAAAGAAAAACAATTTTACTCACGCATTGATTTGACATTTTCTGCTTTCCTCGTTTCAAACCAACCGAAAAATAATTGAAAAATCAAAAATCATACATATCGAAACCCAATGATATCTAACAAATTGCGCATAAATCAAAATTTGAATCGATCCGAACAACCGATTCCGAAAATCCAACCGAAATAACACAACGAATGGTGTGTGTTGCTCGTCTTATCGTAATCGCTATCGTGTTTCGTATACCGATTTACACATTCAACTCGCACACACCTCTAAACACTTATACTTACGCACACACACTCATGCACACTCACATGCGCACATATCCATTCGCCACCGAAGCGCATTTCATTGGGCATGCTGCGCAGCGATCTGATGCTGGAGTCCCGCTGCCCGGAGCTGTCGCCTCTGTTGGACACGAGCGCAAGCGTCGGTGCTGGCGCTGGCGATGATGCGGAGGACGGGCAGGAGCACGAGGAGCGAAAAGCGGACTCAAAGGCGAACACGAAGGCGGAAAAGGGAAAGCCGACAGCGGGCATTCAACGCAGCGTTAGCTCCTCATCGGCCTATTGCTGCTGGAAACAAGTCGAGATCAATACGATAGCATCGGGTTTTGGCCATTTGGGACCAGCAAGTAAAACCATACAAAGGTGCTGTCTGTCTCTCTCTCACGCTCTTTTCTCTCTACCTATATAAATCTCTCTCTTCTCTCTCTCTCTCTCACACACATATACACTTGCATTGTCTTGTATATGCCGAAGCCTAACCAAAGCCATCACCACACAAATATATACAAGTACATACTTATGCACATGCACACACACACATACACAACAAACACACACACATGACAAAGTAACCTTAACAGCTTGCATTAGCTAAATATAAGAAGAAAATACCTTGTACGAAAATGTAGGGAAATATTTCAAAGGTGGAAGTCAAATTAACTTTAAATAAATCAATTCATTATACCATATTTTTAAATAATATACACTCAAATATATGAGTATACAGAGCCTATAGTACATTCTGGGAAGTTACGGTTTTTTTTATATTGTTATTGGGTTTTTAATCGCAAGATAGCAAAATTTAATACGTCTAGTAACAATTGAATTACTGATTATTATTATTTCACCAGCAAAAGCAATTTAAATGATGAAGGTTTCTTTTTGTAATTTATTTATTATTAAAATAGATAACGAAATCTGAATCGGGTATTTTAGATTACAATCAAAATATAATTCTGCACGCTTACAGTTACTTTCTCTATTTGCATATATACATACATATAACATGTTTGTATGCATAAGTATATATTTATATATATATATATATATGTGTGTGTGTGTTTGGGTTTGTTTGGAATTGTATGTGTGTATGTGTGTGTTTGTGTTTGCTTGTTATGTTTTATCCTGGCTATTTCTAATATAATGTGCATTTGATCATGTACAGCTAATTATTATTTTATTTAATTTATGATTCATTTGATAAAAAGTATATTTATGCCTTAGCTATATATATAGCTATATTTATATATATCTACTCATAAATATCCATTTTTGTTTTAGAGTCCTTAAAATGTTATCCGTAGTTGTTAATTTGCTTGTCGAAAAAGATATTAAATATGCTCTGCCCTGCCCCGCCCTTAACATCGCCCAACGCCCAATGCCCATCGCCGCCTGTTCTTCCACTCTGCCTCAGCCCCGTCCAAGCCCGTCTCGCCTTGCTTTGCCTGCTAAGCTTGCAATGCTTTCCTCTTATACTTAACCTAACAATTCTTCTACACACACATGCGCATACATATTTGTACATACATATGTATGTATTAAGTTCTTCTATGCATACATATAGGCAGCTTAAAGGTTGTGCTTCTTTTTCTATCATTTATAATTGTATTTCAATTTTGTCTGTCCCTTTCCTCTTCGTGTTGTCGCTCGATTTTTTGTTTTGTTTTACTGTTACAAATATGCGAAACTCTTAACAACTGGTCAAATTTGCTGTGTCATTCAATCAGCTGCGTCTTATCGCTATGTGTCAGCCATTTAATGACTGAAACAAAACACACTAAAAACACTAGAATCCAAATGAGCTATGCACACAACTACGCTCGCACAATTACACACATACACTCTCGCTGATACGTCGTGCAATGAGTGGCGCTCAGGTTTCTGATTATATCTAGAAAATGTCGCTGTAAGCGAATTGAGATATTTGAGAATATATAACAATAGCGACAACGGGCAACATTTGCGTAGCCAGAAGGCAAGCATCGTAGTTAGTTCTTTAGAAATACTGCAATAAAATAAATCGTTTCGAATAGTTATGTATGTATGTATGTTAGCAGCGTGTGGCCTGTAACGAATATACATACATATGCATGTGTGTGTGTGTTTGATCTAATGATCATAAAATGTTATTGCACACACATGACTCGCGTTGATAGCAAAAACAAATCATCTGCTTAAAGCTTAAAGCCTGGATTTTGCGGTTTGCCAGGCATTTAAACATCGATACATGAATTCAACCAATCAATAATCGAAAATCGATAAATTGCATCGATATTCATTGCTTTCGCTTTCATTTCTCTCTCTCTCTGTCTCTCGCACACACGCACACACTCGACGCCTGTGTTTAGCGTTGTCCACTCTCAAAATCTCAGTATTTTTTTTTTTTTTAGCATTTTTTCTGTTTTTTGTTTAAACTAAACCTAAATATATTTATTATAATTTTGATTTTCTTTTTGTTTACCGTTTAACAGACATACATACATATTTAGTTTAGTTTAGCTTAGGCTAAGGGCTGCTGCTATATACTTGATTAAGCAGTTACTGTATTTTACACACATCTCTTTCTAAATATATATATATATAATATATAACGATCATAATTGCAGGCTTATAGCGTCGGTCTATTACGTTCTGACTATTTGGCTCACGTGTACGAGGGCTGTGCAATAAAGCAGGTTGAAATCAACACGATTGCCTCCAGTTTCGGTGGCATTGCTACACACTTGGTGCCTCTGCAAAAGTATTATGCGCTCTTCTCTCTCTCTCTCTCACACACACACACACTCTCTCTCTCTCTCTCTCACACACACACACACACAAACAAACACATCCGAACACGCACACTCTCTTTCCCAATTTCTCTCATGTACAATTCACATTTTTTTTAGTATTAAATTTACACCTTTTTTAGAGTATAGTTCACGTTGAGAGCCTGTTTCAAATTTCAACTTTCAGAATTTGAGACAGTGTTTTTACGCATACACGCCTTCATATATACATATCTACTAAAAAGCACGCACTTCAACACCAACTTCATTCCACCGCCCACTCATCTGTAATTACAAACCATTTGAAGGTCGCGCAAACTCATCAAAACTGTAAATGGCATGCACTTGCACTCTTCCCCTCCCCTTCTCTCTCTCTCTCTCTCTCTCTTTCTGTCGCTCTCGCTCATTCGCTGAACTTACTCTTCTTGCTCTCTCCCCATTCTTAACACTCTCTTATACACAAACGCACTCCCGTTGTTTCTTTTACGCACACGCACAAACACTGTTTGGCTTTTGGTTATGGCTTTAACTTGAGCTTTGAAATGCTATTCCAAATCCGTTTCCTTAACTCAACCCCCCGCACCCCAATCGTAATACCCGCTCAATTTTTTTTGCCTGCTTTAACTTACTAGCCGTACTGTATATAAACCCCCTAACCCCCCCACCCACCTACGCCCTATTCTAACTACTAACAATTATTATTTTTTTGTTTGTTTGTTATTGTAATCTCTTTGTTTTGAATTAGTTTTGGAATTTTTTTTGTTTTGTTGCTAAGTGTAAAAGTTTTGCTAATCTTGAGTTTTCTCTTTGAATGCCCCACCCACTGTTTCAACCTGCCAACAGCTTTGTCCTGCGAGAACTGGGGCATGCCGAGAAACTGCAGCGAGTGAGTATCGTACATATATACATCTCATACTCTCTCTTATACAAGCTCTCTCTCTCTCTCTCTCTCTCTCTCTTCCTCTGCTTAGATGCCCAAGAACGAAGCATTGGCTGGTCTATGCGATGGCATGGTCAAGGCCTGGAATATCTATGCCAAGCCCGAGTCAGTCATTCTGTTCATCATTGAGGATATTTCGTACAACATTTGCGATCAGCGTTTCCATGAGTTCTACATCCGTGAAACCTATCCGCACATCAAAGTGCTACGTCGCACCCTCACCGAGGTGCATAACGAGGGCAAGCTAGGCCAGAGCAAGGAGCTATTGCTGTGCGTATCTCAAGTCTTTAATTGGAGAATGCTTCGCTATAATAACCTACTCTCCTTTTACAGCAGCGGCAACACTGAGGTGGCCGTCATCTATTTCCGTGCCGGCTATGAGCCGGGGCACTATCCCACGCAGGGTGAGTGGGATGCTAGATATTTGATGGAGACATCGCTGGCTATTAAATGTCCATCGATACAATATCATTTGGCTGGCACTAAGAAGGTGCAGCAGGCATTGGCTCAGCCAGCGGTGTTGGAGCGCTTCATCAACGATCCGGAAGAGATGAAGGCTGTAGGTAAAATCTTTACCGGTCTCTATTCCATGGATGACAACGAGGTGGGCAATGCCAACTATGAGATGGCAATGCGTACGCCAGAGAAATTTGTGCTAAAGCCACAGCGCGAAGGTGGCGGCAACAATGTTTATGGCTTGGACATTCCCGATGCTCTAAAGGTGAGTAAAGAATACGAACTTCAGCGCTATATAAACTATATAAAATATTTATTTCTTTAATAACAGCGCATGTCGCGAGTGGAGCGTTCCGCATGGATATTGATGGATTTGATACATCCGCCCCTGTCGCAGGGCTATATGATACGACCTGGCAGCGATGTGCCGCCCCAGATTGTGGACATGGTCTCTGAGCTGGGCATCTTTGGCGTCGTCATTGGCGATGCCGATCACATTATCCACAACTATCAGGCGGGGCATATGCTGCGCACAAAGCTATCCACTGCCAATGAGGGTGGCGTGGCCGCCGGCCTGGGCGCCCTCGATAGTCCTTACTTGATAGACTCCGATGATGAGGATGGCTACTACTAGACTATGCCCGATTTGCCTATTTGCTCCAAGTACTTAACAATTGTATAAAAGATATATTCCTCCTTCCCCCACTCCCACCCCACCCCCACTATTTTTGTAATGCGCGTAGAGTTGTAATTGGTGCAATAAATTCCACTGTAAATACGTAATGCGAAAGCTCTTTTATCAAAATACTTTTCAATTTCACTTAATCTATTAGTTTGAATTTTGGGAATGCTTGAATGAACAACACAAGTAGCACCAATCATGAATAAACTGTCCGGGAATTCTGTTATTTATCGCACCAGCTTCCTGTAAGTGGCGTCCATAATTCGATCAACCATATTATCAATGGGATGCACTATCAGAGGGATGCTAATCAATCCAATTAACGTAGGCAACGTCTTCCCCACTAAACTGGGCGACTTCTTCAACAGCATTCTGCTGACTGCAGTGATGCTGTATAAGGTATGGAGATTAGATAAGAGTTTCGTAAGACATAAAATAGGTAGATAGGGGAGTACTGCTACTACCGGTTGATTGTCAATCCAGGAATTATAACTGACGCAAACATTTGCCAAGTAAAAACATCGGCGCCCACTAGCGCCACCTGTCGATCAGAGCCGCCAGCCATTTGATGGCGCAATGCCTTGTCAAATGTATCCGTACAGACATAGCCAACTGCCATGCCATAAGAGGCGGCAATTATAGATTTTGGCAATAAAGGACGGAACGCTTCACCCACCTCGTTGCTGTAGCCTGCAATAAATCACAGAGAATAGAGATATATTTACCTATTACTGCGGGCAGCTCTCACCCATGTAACGCAAAAAGGTATCACGATAAATATCCACTTCTTTCACATGCATCTGTTCGTTCGCTTGTTCTTCCAGCTTCTCTTCAAGCGGCTGCATAGTTAGCTTAGTTTCCACGCTAGGTTCCGGATCAGTCATAATGCAAGTATATTTTGTTGCGTAACAAGAAATGTAATTTCAATTAAACATTTAAAATTTCTATCCTTTGTGTATATTGTCGTTTTTAACAGTCTGGCAGCACTACGAAGTTGACACATACAACTGAAATAAGAAACAGAATATTTGGGACTGTGATCAATCGATTATTATCGTTTAGCCGCCACTAGGTATCGCCGAGACGTCAAGCGTTTCATGGTTCATTTTTTTGTCGTGACCGTACGTGCAAGTGCTTTTTAAAAACAAAAAGATTTAGGAAATTGCCGGATTTACTTGAGGTAAGTCGGGAATTTCATGCGTATTGGTGTTCCTTATATATAGCTCCGGTGGCGGCGGCATGTACAATGCTAAAAAATAAGGCGCGCGCGGCAAAAAAACCCCAGCCACAAGCAACACAAACACAAGCACACTTACCCACTCACACAAACACGGGCGAGACTAATGCATATGATGCAAAAACACAAACAATGGTCGAAACCATTTTTAATGCGGCGAATTTATGCAAAATCGTTAAAATTATTTGTTTACTTGGTTTCTAAATATTTTTATTTGTTCTTTTCCGGCAGCCTGGCAACCGCGACGATTGCTGTTGACTTCAGTTGCTGTTGTCGTTGTCCTGGTTGTTGTTGTTGTCGCCGCTGTTGCTGTCGTCGTCGTCGTCGTTGTCGCTGTCGCTGTCGTTGGTGTACCGGCTGTCATGTCCGACTACAGCGACTTGGATCGTCAGATCGAGCAGCTAAAACGCTGCGAAATTATTAAAGAGAACGAGGTAAAAGGCTTATGCGCCAAGGCGCGCGAAATTCTTGTGGAGGAGGGCAACGTACAGCGTGTCGATTCGCCGGTAACCGTCTGCGGTGATATACATGGCCAGTTCTATGACCTAAAGGAGCTATTCAAAGTGGGTGGCGATGTACCCGAGAAGAACTATCTGTTCATGGGGGATTTTGTGGATCGCGGCTACTACAGTGTCGAGACATTCCTACTGCTATTGGCATTGAAGGTTCGGTATCCGGATCGCATAACGCTAATACGTGGCAATCACGAATCTCGCCAGATTACCCAGGTGTATGGGTTCTATGATGAGTGCTTACGCAAATATGGCTCGACAGCCGTTTGGCGCTATTGCACCGAAATCTTTGACTACCTCAGCCTGTCTGCCATCATCGATGGCAAAATCTTTTGCGTACATGGCGGCCTATCGCCATCCATACAGTATTTGGATCAGATACGGAGCATCGATCGTAAGCAGGAGGTGCCGCACGATGGCCCCATGTGCGATCTGCTATGGAGCGATCCCGAGGATCAGACCGGTTGGGGTGTATCGCCGCGCGGTGCCGGCTATCTCTTTGGCTCCGATGTAGTTTCACAATTCAATCGGACCAACGACATTGACATGATCTGTCGCGCCCATCAGCTGGTCATGGAAGGCTTCAAATGGCACTTTAATGAAACAGTGCTCACTGTCTGGTCGGCGCCCAACTATTGCTATCGGTAAGCCATACATGAAACTATTTGACAGAACATTTTGATATACTCTCATTTTGTATCCTCCGTTGCTCTTTAGTTGCGGCAATGTGGCAGCTATATTGGAGTTAAACGAGTACCTGCATCGTGACTTTGTCATCTTTGAGGCGGCACCACAGGAGAGTCGCGGCATACCATCCAAGAAGCCACAAGCTGACTATTTCCTCTAAGCTGCTAAACAGAACAACTAAGGTACGCTCGTCCGCTTGCGACTTGCCATCGAGTTGCAAAATAACAAAAACACATTGATAACTGCCTGCCTGCCTCAAGCAAAAATACGAGAAACAAAAACAAAACAAAAAGAAATTAATCAATTATATACACACTTGAAATAGAAAACAGAAACATTTAACACTTAAACATTTAAGGTTCCTCAATCTCCACCCATTCATTTACCATTTACTAGACTATATACATAACCTCCCATATATATTCTTATACATATATATATATATCTATATCTATATATATATATATCTATGTATGTATATGTATCTATATGTATATGTATCTAAGACATAGTTTCTAAGCCTATATATATATATTTATATATATATATACTTTTTTCTTTGTCGCATCTTAGTGTTCGTCTATTTCTTTCCTTGCATTAGCTCATTTACTATCGGAATCTGGAGCGCTGCTCGCAGTCAACCAGCCACGAATTCAAGGGGCGTGTTCGCTGTGTAAGCTGCAGTCATTAAGGCATTAAGAGCCATCCCCCTTCCCCTCTAACATTTAGTTTTATAAGTATATATAATATATATATATATGTATATATATATAATTATATTATATATATATATTATATATATATATATATATTATATATATTATATATATATATATATATATATATATATATATATATATATACGATGCATTCAGGCAAGATCGAGGCATCCAATAGCATCAGCAGCAAATGCATTGTAATACAAATTATTAGCCAATAAGTCGAAGTCCTAACAGCGTGTAAACAGATCTCTATGTTTATGCACGTTTTTTTTCACAACAAAACATTTAACATTAAAAAAAAAAACAAATAAATAAGAATAATAAATAGAATTTGTAAGCTAGTGCGTATTTAAAAACCCATCAAATCTTTTTATTGCTGTTTTAAAGGGTTCGAAAAAAGGTTCCTGAAAAACTAAGAAGGCTCTAGTCGGGAGCGAGCAACTAGAAGGTATCCAGGGCCCTGTTTAGAGCTGCCTGGAACCTATAGATCCCGTATAACAAGTTGTTTTTCCTTAACACTCCTACAAAGTCTTTAGTTTTATGTACACCTAAGAAAAGTTTAAAGATTTATATATAACTATATCTCTGGGGTTGTCCAGGAATCAAATATAACAGTAGAATATTTCCTTAACATTCTATACAAACATTATTTATACAAACTCTTTACATAGAACTTCTACTTCTAAGGACTTTAGGGTTATGCATAAACCATTCTAAATTGAACTGCAGTTGGCGCAATTTATTTACATGCACTTAGGAACTAGACGTATACATAGAGAAATATATATAATAAAAAAAAAGAGATTTATGTATCATATAGCATGGGGGCGCTTGCATATTCGTTTCCAGTTCGTTTCAGTGCTACTCCAGGGATAAGCCATGCTCGTGAATGTGGTCCACAATGCACTTTTCGTAGGCAGCAGCAGCATCGCAGCTGAAATAGAGTTTGGACAATGACAAAGTTTAGCTAAGATCTTGAGTAGATATATATCTGGACAACTTACTGATCCTCCGGCACCTCAATGGCCTCACATTTGTCCACAATATCCGTAGCAGCGGCTTCCATGTCAGCATCACCCTTGCTTATTAGCTTGATCATCTCCAAAGCGTGCTCCTTGCTCATCTTGCCTTCGTCGTTCATCTGCAAAGAGTGTGAACTTAGATGTGGATACTCTTAACTGGCTTAGTTCCTCCTTACAATCTCGAACTTCTTCAGCATGCAGGCGCGCAGGCATTTGCTCTCATGGGACTCGGCTGGTTCATGCTTCATCATGTGCTCTACATCCTCTGCAATAGAAAGGCTTAATCTATGTACAACTAGTGAGCTGAACTACGAACAGACCATCTGTGGCGCCCGTCTCCGTTTTGCACTCCTCGGCCACCTCGGCGGCGTGTTCCTTGTCGAATTCCTCATGTGGCTTGGAGGATACGGCCACAGCTGCAAGGAGCACAAGCACTGAGAAGCAAAGGAAACGCGACATGTTTAATGTTCTACACGATTACAACTTGGATACGAACTGCTAGTGACTGCGGCATTTTATAGACGGAATCCGTGATTGGACTTGGCTGATTGTCTGACAAGCGACGTCTCCAGCTCTCGGCCAAGTGTCAGGTAATAGCAATTAAACTGCAATTATAGCCAATTTGCTGTGGGATGCAGTTGCACTACATGAGCAGCACATGACACTCGAATCTGGTCAAACGCCGGAGATGCCCTCCGCTGGGCGACGTGTGAAAATCCGTTGAAGCAAAATCTCATTCCACTCCGTCTCTATCACTCTCTCTCTCTCTCTACCTTTGTTAATATGTAATTAACTGTTTAATTAGTAACTGACATGAAATCAAATCGGACTGGAAATTCGACTTGTTAAAAACTTGCAAAACAAATCATAAAATTCCCCAATGGAAGGCGCTCAACACTTACAATGCAAGAGATAGAGATAGCAATAGCGACCGCGAAAGGTGACATGAGCTGGATCATCAATTCGACTTTTCACAACGATCAATCGAAACTTATTCTGTACGACTTGACTGGCAAACACCCTGCAAATAATAAATAATAATAATAAGAAAAGCTTTACAATAGCTATATTGTGAGTTACAAAATTGCCAAATGTTAAATGCTCCTTCCAGTTGGTGAATACGTGCATATATACATATATGCGTGCGTGAGTGTGCAAGCAGAGAAAGAGAGTGCAAGACAAGCTGTTGAATTGAAATGAATTGGAAATGCACGCAACCGGCATATTTGCGCATACAGTCAGCATTAAATTTATTCGCACACCCCAAAGCTCTTTCCTCTCAAAAGTGGCAGAAGCTCATTATTGAGTCAATTCAATGTTAAAAATAACTTATCTTGAAATTAAGACTAGTTAATTACAGAAAATAACAAATTCATAGAAATTAAAGCGTAATTAAAAAGTTTACATTTAATGGCTGTTTTGGAACCGACTTACATCTATCATTATATGTTTATTAATATTTGTAATATTATGTGAATAATTTTTAAAACGTGATTCTATATGCTTTTGTAAAAGAAATTTCTCATAATACGTATACATGGACACACATATGTATGTACATACATACATGTATGGGTAAGTCATTCACGCAGTTATTTTGTCTAGCTTTTATTCGCACTTTCAAACTATGGCTCAGTCTTTCCCTTTCCAACCTATATATAAAAAAGTTCCAAACGTGCGCGTAGCCTGCACAATTTCACCAAGCGTCTTTTGACATACATATATTCGTCCGCTTGCACAGAATATAGTAACATGCAACTGTATATGTGCACATTCACACATGTACGTGCGTTGAACGTAAGTACATTTGTGTGTATATGGATTTGTATGTATGTTTGTGTGTGTCTATTTCACACAGGCCGACGAAGGACAAGCAGATCCCGTTATAATTTTGCAACGCTGTGTATATTTCCCTATACATGCATACATACGTATGTATGTATGCGCGATGCGCTTATTTGAGCAAGTGCCAGTGGAAGTGGGACTGGAAGGAATATGTACACACATATACGAATACATATAAATAACATATACGTATATGTACATATGTATATAATACAGACGTCTTAAAAGGCATTAAGACAGTTAATAATATTGCAGTTCTAGTGTTCATAATTACATTTGCAAATCTACGTGTATTTCTATGCATATGTGTGTGCATCAGAATTTATTGTTGATTTGCGTGTTTTTGAATTGTTTATTTGTTATTTGTGATTTGTGAAGTTTACAATGACAATGAAAATTATGAATCTTGAACTTTCGCCGCGCCGCAGCTTTTACGGCGTCAGCGAAATGGCCACGCACAAGTCGAGGCCGAACTGAAAGGAAGGTCAAGTTGTCTTCCAAGAGTTCGCCCATATAAAAGCGAGTGTTAACAAATTGGCTAGCAACAAATTTAATCACAAGATCATGCATAGTACATTGCTCTCACTACTTGCTCTGGGCAGTTGCATTTGGATGCAATGCAGCATCGCGGAGGCACAGACTAAGCCGCAGCTGCCGCACTTCGATTTGACACGTTTGTTTGGTGGACGCAGCAGCGAGCCACTTATAACGCTGCTCGACCGCAATTTGCCCGAGGTGCAACAGATGATTGAACGGACGAAGAAGAGCTGCCTGAATCAGCTGAAAATGCCAGCGGCGCAGCGTTCACTAATCAGAGAACCAAATCCCACCGAGAAGGAGAAATGCCTGCTCGAGTGCGTGCTAAAGGGCATCAAAATTGTAAGTGAATGGGCCACCCAAGGAAACGATTCTCACTCCCAGCTCTTTTGCAGATGGACAACGGCACCAACAAGCTGAATCTGGGCCGTGTGGAGCAGCTGACCAGCCTGGTCACCGAGGACAACAAGGTGGCCATCGCGTTGAGCTGCAGCCTCGCCCAAAGCTGCAATCGAGCAGTAACCACACAGAAGCCGTGCGAGGCGGCGCATCAGCTGAACCAATGCATTGGCCGGCAGTTGGAACGCAATCGTGTCAAGCTTAACTGGTGAGCCTTAGTGGTCGGCTACCCAAGGCTAAACCCACCGAAATCCCAACAAGATTTGATTGCTGTTACTAATGGCTGCCCGCTTTATTGCCTGTGCATGTCCAGGAACTAGGACCGCGAGCTCTATAAATGAATGTAGGGAATCAAACAATACAAATACAAATAAAAAAAAAAAGGACAAATTGTTGAATAGAATTTAAGACATTTGTGGAGCGCACCATCTACTCTTTGACGTCGGGTATCTTGTAGGAGGCGGCACGCATTTCGCGCAGCATGCACATCGATATGGTATGGCATACCTCGCATCTGGCCGAGAATGAAGCAAGGGGTTAGAGCTAGCTAGCCAAGGGAAGGAAGCAATGACTCGACTCACTCATCGCTGATGCCGTTGGCTGCCTGATTGCATTTGCCTATGATTGTTTTGGATTCGGCTTCCTTCTCGGGGAACATCATGTTCATCATGTCGACGGTCTTCGTCTCATCGAACTGCATCGAGCCCTCGCCCATTATTTCGAACTGTTTCAGCATGCAGCGACGAAAGCATTTGCTCTCATGCGAGGCATCCTCCTTGTTCAGCACCATCTCCTCAATGTGGCCTGGCCGGGAATGGATTGGATTGGATGGGACGAGGATGCATTTTGACAGCTCGCATTAACTTACTTCGCTCCGGCTTGGGCTCACAGCCATTGCCAAATGGCTCAACCATTTCGACGACCTCGCTGAGTGTCATCGATGAGTCCTCGTCCTTCTGATCGTCAGCTTGGGCCAGGCTAAGCAGCACCAGCAGCAGCATCGAGAAACAGGTCCGTGGCAACATCATCATCATCTCTTTTCGTGCACTGCACATAACTAATCCCATTTGGATTTGCTTTTATAGCCCCACAACTTGATTGCTATTCCCCGATTGACATTCCGTTCGCTTGTTGTTACAAAAGCAGAGATTGGATCTGCGCCCATGGAAACCAATCAAAATGCGCCACAATTTACAGTGCAAATCGAACATTTATTCGTGAGCCACTGGAGCGTAATATATATAACTATATATACTCTATGCTGATCATGAGCGTCATGTTGGATTAGGGAAATACAAAGATATCAATCTTGCTGCGGAAACAGCTGAGCAGCGCGTGAGCTGCATCGCAGTTGTTCTTGATGCCACTGGCTGCATCCTTGCACTCGCTGATGCCCTTGCGATAGGCGGGCTTATAGCTCTCCGGCATTAGGAGTTCCACCTGCTTGAGCGTCGAGTCCATCATAAACTTGCCCTTCTTCATCTAGACGTATGGGAGAATCGATTGCTACTCTCGCTCAACTACCTCGCCGCGCAGCAGCTACTCACCGATTGCATCATCTCCATGACACAGTTGATGTAGCATTTGGCATCCTTGTCATCGGGCAGGTTGCCCTTCTGTATGCCATCGGCTATTTCCGCGGTGATCTTTGGGAACTTGGGCAGGCAGACATCACGCATCAGCTTGCCGGCTGCCCACATCTGATCCTCGGTGGCCTGTAAAATGTTCTTATTTGCAATTGCTCCTGTTCGTATATCTCAATAGCCTACCCCTGGACGACAGAACGGCAGACTGAGCAGTAGACTGCCAATTATTAGCTGTAGATATTTCATCGCGCTCATTCGACTGATCTGATCTGAGATCCGTCCAACATATTCCTGCACTTTTATATTGACATTTGCATCGATATTCAAATGAGTGGTCGTCGCGTCGGGCCAGCCCCCTGGCGGCTCGTAACGAGCTCTAATACCATATATTTGCCATTTGTGGCAATGCCAATGCCAATTGCCAATTGACGATTGACGATTGTCAATTGTCAATTGTTTGTCCGAATAAGGATTGCTCAATTGAGTGCCAGGTGTTCTTGGGGCACGCCACATTGGGGTAGGACCAGTGGGGCAACTACCGTGAGTAGTTGAGGCAAACGCCCCTTTGTTAAACTACCATCATCGTCATTACGGCTCGCCTATGATTAGCCGCCTCCAGTTACGCCTTTCCCTTTCCCTTTCCCTTTCTCTTTCTCTCTCTGTCTCACTCTGTCCGTTTGAAAAACAAATATTTTAATTTAGCTTGGCACGCAAGGGTCAACAAGATCTTTCGGCTTTAGATTGCCACGAGCTACAAGCGAACAGCAACTGCAACGCCATGTGAAGGGGCAATCAGATGGTAGCGGGATCTATATCGGGCCAACACTAGGCACAAAATGTTAGTCTAGGCGCAGGGTCAAGTAGCCTGAAAACTTGCGTTTCGTTAGCTTCTTTCCACAACTCTCTAACTACACTACCTCATTCGCTTCTCCCTTCAAAGGGGCTTATGCCTTGGTATCTTCCACTTTCGTCTGCTTGTATAACATATTTCGCTTATCTCCTCGCTTCTCGCTGCTCACTAACTGAAATTCTCTATTCCTAGTTCTTCTTTCTGTTCTTGCTTGATGTGTTTTGCTTCGTTCTTTTGTTTATAGCTGCACTGCATCATTCGCTTCTCACTCGGAATGTAAGTTGAACAAGAATCAACTATGATTCGGCCTTAGTAGCTCGCTTTGTTTAGGATTCAGCTTCTCCCTTCGCTTTCTTCTTTCTTCTAGCTTTGCTTTTCTGTTCACTTTAGTATTTTAGATATCTCTCAGGCATATAGAAAGCATGCTTCTCGCTTCGCTCTTCATTTTCAGCATTATATGTCTATATATTGCTAGCTTTGCTTCTCTCTTATTGTATCTCTTAGCAAATCCGTTACTCTGCTTGCAGATCTCACTCACTCACTCACTCACTCACTCGCTTCTCGCTTTGCTATTTAGCAGCTTAACTGCTCACTTAGCTTCTTTCGTCTTTTGCTCGCTTCTCGCTGCATTTGCAGCTTTGCTTAGCTCCATCTGCGTTTCCTCCGGCGGCTCGTAATCTCTTGCTAGCCAAACTCGTCCTGCCTTTGCTTCTCTGTCTAACGCGCTTCCAATACGTAATCGCTTCTCTCTCTCTTCTCGCTTCAGTTGATGCGAATGCAATCCATTTGCACAATGAAAATTTTAGTAGAAATTGCACTATGATTAAAAGTTGTCAAAGCAAAAATAGCATCTATTTGGGCTCTGACTGAATTATAGAGTTGTTTATCTAATACACCCTTGTGGGCCTATAATAATCGCTCCATAGAGACTAGATATACTCATTATAATCGCACGATATCTAACGAGCTGCAATTAGTGGAGATAGGTTGACTGAGGTAATGTCTTGTAGGATACTTGATGTGACCTGCAAAGGAGATTCTCTCTCTGGATAGGAGTAGGCCTTGCCAATGATGCTCTCTGCTAGAGAGCTACTTGGGTGTTTCAATGTAAGTGTACAAATTCAACGGAAATCTAACGAGTAAATTGCTTGAATTTTGATTCAAATCCCGTTCGACAAGTATAAATATATAGAGATTTATCTATATATATATCTGGCCTAGGTGTAGCCCCTCTTCTAGTTACAAGCTCATTTATTTTCGCACGATGTCCGACTACTTCAAGTTCAACAGGCTCTTTGATAGCCAGACTGTGCGTGGACGCGCCAATGTAAGTAGATGGATTCGTAACTCCACGTCTAAAACTATATGCATTCTATGCCCTCTTAGGTTGCCAAGGCCACCTGGGCATCGGTGGGTCTCATCTATGTGCTGGTCAAGATGCGTCGTCGCAATGCCAAGCGCCGTGAGGCCTTCCAATATTGCAAAGGCTGCCAGCAGAAGATGCTGCTGTAGCAGCGAATCAGCGCTATATCCATATGAACAACATCCCATCCCATCCCATCCCATCCCATCCCATTCCATTCCATTTTCCATTCGTGTTCCGGGCTGCATGCAGCTCGGACGTTAAGCGTTACCTAAATCTCTTGTGTTCTGTTGTCGAGTTTTAATAAAAACCAATTCTTATTTCGAGCAATGGCATTCCGTTTAATAGCCCACAGCACTTCAGAGCTTGAACTGGTTGCGAATTCTAAATGAATTTAGTGTGCATTGAATTCGCTTTGCGTTTGTCTAGCTGATGTATGCTTGATTGTAGTCACAGATGTATCGCGATTACTGGTCAAGATAATATATGCTCATGGGCTCATGGTCACGCCTCGGGCATTATAGGCCTGATGTAGTAGAGCTACCCGAATACCAATAGTGTCTATGGCAATCTCTTGGTCGGCAGTACGAGTGACTAGCCACAGAGTGTATCACACTTGTAGTGCCTGAACGGAATCCGAGTACGGAATGCGTATCGAGCAGAGTATCTGCTAGTCATGTAGAGCCGAATGCTCTGGATTTCCTGGCAGCTGGGACAGAGGCAAACGTAGTAGGCACCTGCTGGACGCTTGGCTCAGCTCGTTTTTGGGGCAGTTCAGTTCAGACCCGGACTCGGACCCAGACACCCCCATCCGTAATTCGGAAAACATAGATAATACTTAAACCTGGGAGCTGATTGCTGTTGTTCGCGATGGCCGATGGTTTCAAGAAGTATTTCAATGGCACCACGATGAGCGGCCGCGCGAATGTGAGTAGAGGAGTCCAACCGAGTTTTTAATTCACTTAATCTGCTCTTGCTGCTGCTCCTCCCGTTTTGCAGGTTGCCAAGGCCACCTATGCAACCTTGGCGCTCGTCTATTTGTTCTATCGCGTGCGTCGTAGCAAGAGTCAGCCGACGGACGACAAAGAGCCGGTGGAGATCAAGGAGCCATCGGAGTTCCAAGAGCAGCCGAACTGCAACTGCGATGAGAAAAAGAAGCCGAAGACGGACCCAAACGATTGCATCGTTTGCCGTGAGCGACGACCACGCGAAGATCAATGCCAGAAAGAACCACCGCCGCCGCCACCACCGTCATCAGCATCGGATAAGTGCGAAGCGCCGAAACGCCGCAAATGCCCGTGCGACGCGTCCAAGCCACAGCATATGCAGCAGCATCCACAGAAGGAGCCACAGCCGCAGAGCAATCAACAGCACCAACCGCAGGCGAGCTACACTAGCAGCCAGGAGCAAGCGGATGAGGCGCATCCGGCACGGGAGCTCATCTCCCAGATGCATGAAGCTGCGTCCCGAGTGCTGCGCAATGTGATTGGTGCCGTTATTGGCGATTCAGCATCTGGTGGAACCAACTGCAACCACACCGACGAGAATTGCAGTTGTCCATCAAAAGCCGCCAGTCCTGCTGCCGCTGCGGTGCCGCCAGCTGGTCCGATCCCTACCGTGGGTATTGTCGATGCCAATGACCCGTTGGAGGATGAAGCCAGCGACTATGACTCTGACAGTCAGCTGCTCAGCCGCCAGCGACGCACTGCACCGCGCGCCTGCGTGCCCAGCAATACCAGCAGCGACCTCGATGTCGCCACTGAGGCGGAAAGACGTGAGCCGCAGACACTATCGAAAATCAAAACTGAATCGCAAACTCCAATCAAGTTGCAAGAGCAAGCGCAAACGCAGCTGCAGCCGCAGGCGCAGAATCAAATGCAGTCCACCTCCTCGCCACAAACGCAGCCAAAATCGCAACCACAGCAAAGATATCGCTGCTTCGAGGATGACTTTGCATCTGATCTGTTCTTCGAGGACTTTGAGGAATAGGATCTTAGGGGGAGGGGACTAGATCCGCGGTTAACACCTGTCTACCAAAATTCTCAGTGCAAACGAACTGTTTATTAAATTAAACGGCAGCAAAAATTGCTCCTGTCTAGAAAATAAGAGAAATATCCATATCTACTATAGAATAAAATGAGAAACTTATTTTATAGGTGCTTGGAATAGTTATCAAACTATTCCGAGCTTGTTGGCAATTACTTGAGTTCATATTTCCAACTTAATTCGAAACCAGAGCCTGAAGCCGTTGCTTAAACAGTGTTGCGTAACGAATATATAAATGTTATCGATTGTTACGGTCCTCTAAGCATGCAAATTGCCCGACCCATACATCGTCATAATTAAATAATCGAACGATTTAGTTTTTAAATATTTGCAATTTAATTTTAAATTTCAGATTTTTGCATATTTTTGTATTTTGTGTTTTGTATTTTTTTTTGTTTTTTTTTTTTTTTTTTTTTTTGGATTTTTGCTGAAAACACAACTAGAATTGATCATCATTAGCATATTATCGTTTATCATTACCGTTATAGCATTTATCATTATCAATAATCAATATTTATAATTCATATCAATATCTTATCAACTGCATGCAGGCGCAGGCAGTTCCTGCCAACTGTAAGCTATGTAAGCATAATTATGTATATGTATATTTATAGATTCATGGTGTGCTCATACAACATATATATGAGTATGTGTGTTTGGACTTTTTTTAACTAACATTTATGCAATATGGAAATAACATTTAACGTTTGCTTATTTTGCTTTTTGGTTTCGTGTGTCGCATCGGCTCATCTACAGTTTCCACTGGAAGCTTTCCAGTATTTTACTCTTCCAATATCGTGCTTTCTTTTTTACTCTCTCTCCCAAGCTGTATTTGTTTGTGTGAGTGTGTGTACGTAGGTGTGTCTTTGACTATCGGCTGCAGTATGTGCAAATTGCTAAGCAGTTGATCGACTAATCGATTAATCAGCTAAACAGCTAATCTAATGCGTTTGAAGTGCGTTGCGTTTATAGTATGTTAAGCAGCAGGAGCAGCAGTTTTTTCTTTCTTTATAATTTCAATGTACGATAAATTGTTGTTATCGATAGTGCGTTTAGCCATCGTGACTGGCAACGGACTCCAGATCACTGTTGTCCTCGCTACCAGTTGCCTCGGTGGGTTCGCCCATGGCCACGCGTGCATACTCATCGGTATCGATGCTCTTGCAGAAATGTATCGCATATTTCAGCTTCTCCAGCAGCACAGCCTAGAGGAGACGTGGGGGAAGGGCTTAGGCAACATTTCTTGGGACGATTTCGCTAGCGAGCTTACCTTGCAGGAGTAGCGCGGCATCTTGAGCAGGAAGAAGCAGGTATAGCTTTCGGGCAGAAAATGATCGGGCGGATTCTTTTCGAGCACCTGCAGCACAAAGTCTCGTCCACGAAAATCGGCTATGGTGCGCGGCAGTCGGGTTCTGCCCCAAACAAAGCGCAGAAACAGGGAACGCTCCTAAATAAACAATTTTAGATAAGAATTTAACAACTGAACCACATTCGCATTTATATTTGGCTCACCTGGTTGGTAAACTCCTCCATGACATCCCAGAACCAGCCGACCAGCGCAGAGCTGGGATCGAATCCCTTGTAGGTAGCCACCGACTTGAGCAGCCCCAACGGTATGTCCGGTGAGCCGCAGACCATGGCCTGCAGCTCGGCGGCCGAGAAGAGGGAGAGCAGCGGCACAGGTATTACCTTGGACATGCCATCCCGCACCGCTTTCACCTGCTCGTCGAACTCGTGCAGTCGAAAGCCGAGCGCGAGACGCACATATTCCGCACGATTTCTGGGCGAGATGTGCGTGTAACGCGTGGACAGCGGCACCTCGTGTCCGCGCGCCGACGATGTCGAAAAGGGCAGCTCCAGCGTATTGAACAGCTTAGCGTCGTCGTCCATGTTGCGTATGCAGAGCAGCCCGGCTACGTAGTCGCGATCCACCTCGGTGAGATCGGTGGGGCGCAGTGGCTCGCCCGTTAGCTGACGCCATACGGGTTCCGCCAAGCTGAAGGAAGGCAAAGATTGGTTCAATACAAAATTCATTTGGTTAAATTCAAAATTCATTTACTTGAGACTCAGCGGCGAGCCGGTGCGCACGGCTATGCCCATGAGCACGCCCAGGAAGCGAAACATGTTCATCTGCAGCACGGACGTTAGGGTTGGATCCAGCAGGAAGCAGTCCCGATTGGCACCCGCCTCGCCACGGCCATTCGGTGTGCTGATGAGCAGTGGAACGCTGCCGTTCTGCAGCTCGTCGCACATCTCAGCGATGGATTCGCTGTAGCCACCGCCGCAGTCGTCCACGCTCTCGCCGACAAACTTGACCTTCCAGACGCGATGGGGCAGGGCGAGCGCCTCCTGGGTGAGCAACGGCAGCTTCTGCACCATCTGGCCAAAGACGCTCTTCATGCCATCGATGCCAGCCAATCCATTGCAGCGACTACGCGAACGCTTCACCTGGATGCGATTCAGTTCGATGACGGGTCCATGCTGCTTGTCCCGCACCATGGTCGTCTGGATGACTTTGCGGAAGGCGGCTTCCTTGATGTTGTAGACGAGCACATCCTTCAGGGCGCCCAAACTCAGGTCGCCCGCAATGGGCAGCATGGCCAGGCAGGGGCACAGCAGCTCCGAGAAGTGGTGCAGCAGGATGAGCCGTGCGTGCAGCGCCTCCGGCGCTAGATCACGCACCAAGTCATACTCGAGCGGTGGATTGGGCAGCGGACGCAGTCGCTCACTCAACTGCGATGTGGACAGGGCCAAGGTGTGAGCCGATCCACACGTGACCTTCACAATGTGCTTGCCCTGGAGAGCTGCGACAAGTCGTGGCCGCTGTATGGCCGTCACGGTGCCATCGCCGAGTTGGCCTTCATCATTGTCGCCCCAGGTGAAGACCTCGCCGGTATCGCTGCAGGCGACGCAGTGCAGCGAGCCGGTGGCAATCGAGATGATCTTCTTGCCCTGCAGAGCGGCCACTTTCTTGGGCCGACGCACATGATCCACCGATCCATGGCCAAGCCGATGGAAATCGCCCTTGCCCCAGGTGTAGACGGCGCCGGATTTGGTGAGCGCCACGGAGAACTGTGAGCCGCACTCCACCTTGACGACGCCCAGGCCGGCGAGACTTTCGATCTTGTAGGGCAGCTTGCAGCCATCGCTGCCGCCGCGTCCCAGCTTGCCATAGTCGCCATCGCCCCAGCTCCACACATTGTCGTCGTCCGTGATGCACAGCGTCTGGGCATCGCCCGAGCCGCAGGCAATGTCAATGGCACGATAGCCCAACAGGGCCTCCACCAGTTTGGGTCGCAGCTGATCCTCGGAGTCGCCGTGTCCCAGACGACCATAGCGACCCTTGCCCCAGGTCAGGACGTGGCCACTTGCCGTTATGGCCGCCGAGTGGGCGCTGCCACAGGCAATGTCCGCCACGCTCATGCCATTGAGATGCTCGAGCAGTTTGGGTCGATCGTAGCTCATGCGATTGCCATGTCCCAGCTTGCCGTCCTCGCCCTCGCCCCAGGCGTAAACCTCGCCATCCGTAGTCAGGGCAAGGCAGTGCTTGCCGCCCGAATTGACGGCCACCTTCTTGACGAAGACGTGCTGCAGGGAGCCCAGCAGCGTGGGTATGGCCCACGAGTCGCTGCCGCCGACACCCAGACGTCCGCCGGAGCCGTAGCCCGTGGCGAACAGCTTGCCATCGGGCGTGACGGCAAACAGGGATTGCTCGCCGCCAGCTAGCTGCACCGGGCGCAGCAGGCTGAGTGCCTCGCAGGGCGTGGGCGTCTTGATTCTGCTACCCTCCAGGCCGCCGAGCTGTCCGCGATGATTGTGTCCCCAGCCGTAAATGGTGCTGGCGCCGCCCCAGCTCAGTGCCCAATCGTCTGGCCGGCGGTTGAGCCACTGCAGCAGCTGTGCATCGTGTGGTGCCTGGAATAGTGTGTGATCCTCGTGCAGCAGCAGCTGCAACGGCTGCAGTTGCTCCAGCAGCAGCAGCTCCTGCTGCGCCGACTGCTGCGCCAGCATCTGCATCTGCTGCACCTGCTGCTGCTGCTGCTGCTGTTGGTCTGTGGCGGATGCATTGCTCACCGTGCTGGAGGACAGCGACGTGGTCGAGTTGATCAGCGAGGCGCCCGGCGACTGACAGCTGCCAGCTGCAGCGGGCGCCGGTGCCGGCAGCATCTCGGCAAACTTCTTGCGCACCTCCAAGCAGAACTGGCGCGGCAGCTCCGTGCGTCTGATCAGGGATTGGGCCACACGCACGGCAATGCAATAGCGCTTGAACCACGCCCACTTGTGCAGATCTCCCGAGGCATTTGAGCTCAAGCTGCTGCTGCTGCCGCCGACAGCGCCCGCGCCGACGCCGCCAGCTCCGGCGCATGCTGCAGTGGTGCTGCTGCCGTTGCCGCCGGTGCCGCTGGTGGGCAGCGCAGCGTCCAGCTGCATGTCGCAGGCGAGCGCCGCCAGCGTCTTGAAGTAATCCGAATGCATCAAGTGAATGCCTCCGCGCACCTGCGGCTCCTCGTACTCATACTGACGCAGTAGCTCCGGTATCAGTGGCAGCAATATGGCAGCCAGGGCGGGCTCGTGCGGCTTGGGCGCCTGCTCCAGTAGCAGCACCGCGTGCAGCTTCTTCAGCGCCCAGATGCGTTGGGCAGTGCTCAAGGCGCCCAATTGGGCGCAGGCAGCCAGCGCCGCGGCCAGCCGCAGCAGCACCTGGGGCTGGCGTGGTGCGAGCCGTGCATCGAGCAGCGCCATCACCAGGGCCATCGATGGCTGCGACAATACGGCACGATCCGAGCCGCTCTCGCCCAGCGTTGCAGCCGGCATTATGGCGTGCACCCAGAAGCGCCAGCCCCAGCCGTTCACCGAGCTGTCCGAGCAGAATTTCCAGCGCAGCTCATCGCCCGGCACCCGAATCTCCGGCGCCCAATGGGCGAATTCACGGCCGGAGCGCATGGCCAACATGCGACCAGCCGCATCCATGATCACCAGCGGATCGTTGCGCTTCTCCGTGCTGCACTGGCTATCGAATTCGAGGCGCAACATCTCTGCGCCCGGTATACGGACCGTGCCGCTCACATTCATGTTGTCCACGTAGGGATGGCTGCTCTCCTGCATCACCGGCTTGGGCAGCTTGCCGAGGCAGTGGCGCGACGTGCACAGATCCTCCAGCTCTGTGATGCACGTCTCCAGCAGCATGGCCGCAATGCCCGCATTGCTGCTCAGCGAGATCAGGGTCTCGGCTATGGTCTGGGCAGTGCTGGGTGGGCCACAGCGTCCGCACACGGCCAGCTTGAGCAGCTCGACGAGACTCTTCGCCTCCGGCTCCTGCAGCAGTGCACCGAAATCATCCAGGCCATGATTGTGACTGAATTGGGCCAGCATCTCCTCCTGCTGCGTCATCGTGGCGGCCATCACGGACATCGCGCTGGCTGACATCCGCGAGTGGGAGCCAGCCGACATGCCCGACATGGACAGTGAGCCGGTCAAGCTCTGGAACGCGCTCAGTCCAGAGCTCAGCACGGCCGCCGGCTGTGGCATCTCCTCTGGACTGTGCTGCTGCTGTTGCTCCACATCGCTGGCATCCGCTGGTGCTTCGCCTCCGCCCTGAGCAATGGTTGCTGCTCCTGCGGCGGCGGCGGCAGCAGCTGCTGCTGCTGCTGCTGCTGCTGTCGTTGCTGCTGCTCCGCTTCCAGCTCCGGCTGCCGTATTCAGCTGCTCCTCCAGTTCGATGTGTGCGCCGGCGTGCCTGGCTGCCGACTCCTTGTAGTTGACCTTGCTGTGGCTGGTCAGTGCGGCGACAATGAGCTGCCTCGCCTGCAAGATGCTCATTGCACGCAGCACATGTCCCAGTGCCGCCTGGCGGGCCGCTGGCGTTTCCAGTGCCAAGCTCTCGCTGAGGCTGGCCAGAGCTGAGCCGGAGCAGGAGCCGGAGCCGGTGCCGGTAGAGGAGCACGAAGCAGCTGCAGCGGCTGCTGCTGCTGCCGCTGCTGCAGCCGAGGTGCTCGGCCTCACGTCCGGCTTGCCAGCCACATCCGGCGTGGTGTGCGTGTGCTGCTGTGTCTCCGCCTCGTAGATGCCCAGGCTGCTGCCGCCGAGTGGGTCACGCGTGCTGCCAAATGGCACCGGGCCGCGTTTCTCCTCGTCCAAGCTGGCGTTTGGCAGGCCCCAGGCCATGGAGTGGGAGCTGCCGCATGCCACACGATTCACAATCACCGCATCCAGGCCAATCACCAAGGCGGGCTTCTTGTTCACAAACGTATTCCCGCTGCCCTGCTGGCCATGATCGTTGTCGCCCCAGGCGTAGACCTGGCCGGCGTCCGTTACGGCGAGACAGTGGAGCGCGCCCACGGCCACGTGTATGACTCGATGTCCACGGAGTCCGGCAATGGGCTGAGGCTTGCGGACATGCTGATCACCGCCATGGCCGAGCCGATAGTAGTCGCCCTTGCCCCAGGTCCAGACCTCGCCGGCACGCGTCAGAGCCAAACTGAACTGGGCGCCGCACTCGATCTGGACAACTCCGATGCCGGACAGACGTTCGATTTCGTGCGGCGTCGAGGAGCCTTCGCTGCCGCCGCGTCCCAACTTGCCAAAGTCGCCGTCGCCCCAGCTGAAGACGGCGCCATCCTCGGTCAATGCCAGCGTCTGGGCGTCGCGACTGCCGCAGGCCACTTGGATGACCCGACGTCCGCTTAGTGCAGCCACCAGCTTGGGCTTCAACTGGGTGGCATTGTCGCCGTGGCCCAGTCGTCCGTATTCGCCCAGGCCCCAGGTATAGAGCTCGCCCTGGCTGCTAATGGCCGCCGAATGGGATGAGCCGCAAGCGATGTCGCGTATCTTCTTGGCGCGCAGCGACTCCAGCAGCCGGGGCTTGTCCAGCGTGGTGCGATTGCCATGTCCCAGCTTGCCATCCTCGCCCTCGCCCCAGCTAAACACTTTGCCGTCCAGCGTCAGGGCGAGCGCATGTTTGCCGCCCGAATGAACCGCTACCTTCTTCACCACGTACTGATGCAGCACGGGCAGTTGATGGGGCAGCGGCACATTGTGCGTGACGCCGAGGCCAAGGCGTCCATTGGTGCCCTCGCCGCAGGCATACACCTTGCCGTCCTGGCTGACCACGAAGAGCGATTTCGAGCCGCCAGCTATGTGTATGGGTCGAAGGCGACTTATTGTCTGCGAGAAGGTGGGCACCTTCACCTTGGAGCCCTTCAGCCCGCCCAGCTGCTCCTTGTCGTTGAGGCCCCACACCATGACCGTGCAGGGCAGCTCCTGTTCGGCATGCCCAGTCAGACTCTCGCTCGTTGGGGCGCTGGTCGAGGTAGCTGCTGCTGCAGCTGCTGCTGCTGCGGTTGCTGCTGCTGCAACGGCTGCGGCTCCAGCAGCAGCTGCCGCTCCGCCATGCGCTCCGCCATATTCACAAGCCAAGAACTGGGCATTGGCCAGCATGTGCTGAATGTCCGGCTGCTGGCGCCGTCCGACAAACTCGATGCCATGCACCTTGCACTGGATGCCATTGTTCTGGCACTGTTTGATCACGATTTCGATCCAGGGATAATACTGCGCCACCTGCTGCATGAGTAGGACTCGGCTGGCGCCGGATGCCACTGGTATCCAGGTGTATTCCTTGAGGCTATCGATGCACTCGCCCACACGCACCTCCAACAGCGACGGCATGTGCGAGTGATCCTCCGGGCTGACGCGCAGTGCCAGGCTGTGCACCAGGACACGATCGTGCAACTCCAGGCGTATCCAGTGCCGGCAGGGTCCGCTCGAGCAGCTCTGCCAGGCCAGGCCGCTGCCATCGAGCAGATGCTTGGCTGCCGTCTCGTTGGAGCTGACGCTCAGCGAGCGTATGCAACGCGACCAATCCTCAATGAGGTCCGTTTGAGGCGTCGCTGCAGTTGTTGCTGCTGCGGCTGCGGCAGCTGTGGGACTGGGCTCCACGTCGTTGATGTGACCCTGCCAGTTGGGCTGATCGGGAAACTCGACGGTCAGCTGCTTGCCCCGCATGGCGGTCACCAGTCCGTCCTCCAGCTGTGCTCGCGAGCCGCCCAGCCGCATCAGTTGCCTCACCCTGGCGCCCACAGCTATTGGCGGCGGCGGGCGTGGCAGTGGCAGCACAGGTGCCCCGGGCTGGGCCGATTCCACCAACTCGATGTGCACGAAGCACACCCAATAGGTGCTGCCATGGTTACGCCAGTCCACTTGTACGTTCAGATCGTGCAGTCCTTCGGTGTCCACAATGAGCACGGTGCCCATGTCGCCTTGTTTGATCTCCTCGAAGTCGCGACAGCAGCGCACCAACATGCCCGGGCGAACCAGGCCACGCACGTACAGCGCATAGTGATCGGCTGTGGGGAAATCCTTGCGCGTATCGAATTTCTGCACCTGCTGATCCTCGACCGTATCCGAGGATGAGGAGGTGCTGCTGGTGCCGCTGCCGCTGTTGCTGTTGCTGCTGGTGGTGCTCGTGGTGCTGCTGCTGCTGCGACTGCTGCCGTTCGCTGTCGGCTCCACGGCCTCCACATCGAGCGTATTCGCACAGACATCCGGATGCTCCAGTATCCATTGAACGATTTGCTCCGGCGTCGGCACAGCCTCCGCCTGCAGCGACAGCTGCTTGAGCGCCAGCTCCACATTGCGTCGCGTAAAGCCCATTTCCATAATCTGCTCAATGAGCTGAGCATCGCTAGCAGGCGGCGTTGCCTGACTGATCTGATCCGATTGCGCGGCCGCTGGCTGCTCCTTGGCCACGTTATACACGGCTATGCCATGGACCATGGTCGGCTGTGCTGGACTCGCTAAGACCACCGGCTGCAGCTCGTTCTCAACGTTCAGCTGCTGATGCGCCTGGCTGGCCAGCGTTTGGACGCAATTGAGCGCGGCCGTGGCCAGGTCCGTGTAGCCGTAGCACGCTTTAACCGGCGACGGCTGTGTGGCACGCAGCAGCAGGCACTGGATGAGCAGCTGCTCCGACTGTTGATTGCTGGGAACACAAAGAGAGAGAGAGAGAGAGGGGGAGGGCGGGCATCAGCTAGAGATTGACCTAATCCTGCCTAGAAATTAAATCGATCTTTACCTGATGGCAGCATTATTGCTGCTGCTGCTGCCGTTGTGGGCCTCAGTTTGCGCCGTCTGCAGCACCTGCTCGGCTTCGTTTAGCGGCTCCACCTCGGCCTCCTCGTTGCATTCGCTGCTGCTGTAGACGCTGGCCGGCGCACGCTGCTTGAGTATCTTGCGCAATGCCGCCTGATGGCGATAGAGAACTCCATTTGTGTGGAGCACTGCCAGCTGCAGTTGCTGGCTGCGCAGCAAGCGCACATCCAGCTTGCCTTCGCCGGCATTGAGCAGCTCCCAGTTGCCGGCGCTGGAGCTGGAGCTGGCACTGGCAGCGCCATAGAGCAGCACGGTCCAGGCATTGAGCAGCATCTCGTTCATGGGCAGACGCGTTAGGCTGAACACACTGTGATCCAGCTGCGGCAGCACCGTGCCCAGTGGCACCTTCACCAAGCCCTGCGCAAGATTGGCGACCGCAGGCGGTGCGCTGTAGGCCAGCAGGCAGCGTCCTTTGTGGGTGAAGCTGGCGATGATCATGTGACTGCCCTCGTGGAAGCAATGTAGACCGACACGCGGCCGCAGATCGTAGCCACCCATGGCACTCAGCACGCCCAGCACCAGGCTGTGTTCCGTGTCCAGCGGCGTCTGCGGCAGCTGCGATTCGCCCTGCAGCAGTTCGGCGGCTACGCACAGTTTCTGGGCCAGGAACGAGTTGATGACCGCATTCCAATGCGGCAGCGTGTGCAGGCGTCGCAGCAATGCCACCAGCTCCTCGGCCACGCTGCCCGAGTGCGAGGCAGTCAGCAAGACACGCGCCTTGCCACCCTCTTGCATCGGCTGCAGTGTCGCATCGCCCGGGCAATGCAGTGCGATGCGTCCGAGTGTGCCAAAGAGCTGACGCACCAGTCCGGGCATGCGCGGCTCCTGCTCCACGCCCCACGAGCTCAGTATGCACTGCAGCAGGCGCAAGCAATGCAGCTGGCGATAGACGCCACGTTCCGTGCCCGCCGGCTGTTCCAGCAGCGCGAAGTAATGCGACAGCCAGTTCGGAGCGCTCAGCTCCAGGCACAAGCGCGGGCAATCGCCTGAAAGCAACAGAAGAACAGATATAGAATACGTTCTATTCCGGATATACTCGCATCGCATCTCACCTGCTATGGCGCGTATAAAGCCAAGATTCAGCCAGTTGAGGCAGTGCACCACGTTGGCCAGCGCCGGCTTTGGATCGAGCATGGCACGAAACATGCTCGTGATGCCACGCAGCGCATATTTGTCCAGATGGGCGCCGTGCAGGCCGCTGCCCACGGCCAGGATTTGCAAGAGCTTGGCGGCGCAGTGCCTCAGGAGTTTAGTGGGATGCGATTCGCTGCTGGGCGGTGGCTCCAGTGTGCCCAGCTCTTCGCGTTCCGGTTCCGTAGGTGAGGCAACATTTAGAGCGCTGTCCGCCAGCTGCAGATCATACTGACCCTCCTTGCCCATGCGATAGGAGTTGGTGGCGCCCGTATACCATTCGACGCGCACCCACCTAACCAGGAGAAGCCTTAGAAACGGAATTCGAGCAGCGATTGCCAGTCTACTCACCCGTCCTCGCCCACCTCGCTAATGATGCGTCCTTCGCCCGGCGGATTGCCATCCTGATCGCCCCATTTCCAGTCGGAGCCGCGCACAATGCGCGTGCCGATCTTCATGAGCTTGGCCAGGTCTGGTCCGCTCAGCTGCGCCTTGCTGCACTTCTGCTTCAACACGCTGTCCTCGTACAGAACGCTCAGCTCACAGTTGTTCGACTTGGTGTTGCCCTCGCCGCCAGTTTGGGCCAGCAGACCCAGCACCGTGCCCAGCAGGCCGGAGTTGATGAGCAGCCCCAGCTCATTGGCGCCCAGCTCCTTGGCCAGCAGACCAAAGACGCTGATCAGGAAGCGAGCACGCGGCAGACGCTTGAGCAGCACATAGGTGCTCAGATTGCAGCTATCCTTGCCGCGCGCGGCGCCCTGCTGCTCCTGATTGACCAGGCGTCGCAGCTCCCGCACCGCCCAATCGAGGACGCGTGACTGGGCAAGCAGTAGCCGTGCCTTCTGATACGCGCTCACCATATTCAGCTGGCCGAGCACATGCTGCGGCGACGCTCCGCTGGCCGCCGACTTCAGATGCAGTCCCAAGTAGCCATTGAGCAGGCTGTACTGGCCGGCGTCGAGCAGGCCGTGCAGCTCGAGCAGCTGCTGCACCAGCTGCAGCCCGGCCAGACGCAGCTGAAAGCGTTGCATCTGACAGTACATGGCACGTCGCACCGTTTCCACATCACAGCTATCCTGGAGCGCAAAGTCAACAATGTCCTGCATGAGCGTCGCATCCAGCTCGATCTCCTGATGCAGCTGCCTCTCGTTCAAGCGGCGCAGCAACGACTCCTCCTCATCCAGCTGCTTCTGCTGCTTGGGCTTCTTCTCCTGCTGCTGCTGCTGCTGCTCATGTTGATCATAGATCAGCAGCTCAGTGGCAACCGTTTGCTGCTGCTGCTGCTGCTGCTGCTGTTGCTGCTGCTGTTGGATGCTGGCATTGAGCAGATCCTCGGGCTTGGCCGCCGGCTGTTGCTTGGCTGCGCGCAACTCCTGCAGCAGGCGTCGCACCAGCAGCCGAAATCGTGGCAAACGCTGCAAAATTGGCAGGCGACGTAGTCCGCGCTGCTGTGGACTGATCGCGGGACGCACCTCGTAGAGCAGAAAGCGCAGCCGCTCGAGCACGGGCGCACAGACCTCCTTGTAGCTGCGATTCAGCTGCTGCCGTGTGCGCACCACCGACCACTTCGCCTGATGCACCAATCGTATGATCTCGCCCAGCTGCTTGGGCAGCGACTGTTGTTGCTGCTGCTGCTGCTGGTGCTCGCCCAAGGGCAACGCCTCCAGGGCATTGAGCACTAGGCCACCCAGGCACTGATGTCGTAGCAGGACAGCGCTGAGCAGCCGCTCCAGCTCCTGCACCGGATGCTCGGTGGCAAACTCCTGATGCCACATCAAGTTGTGCGCCTTGCAGTAGCGTTCGGTTAGAGCCAGCCAACTGGCCACCAGCGGCTCCCCGAGTCGCGCCTCCGCCAGACCAGCAATGAAGCTGTCCACGCGATTTTGCAGCTGCGCCTTCGGCGGCGGTGGCAGCGGTGCCTCTGTCGGCGTATTGCCAGCGGTGCTGTGACTGCTGCGCGCCTCTCCCTTCTCCTCGTCAAACGGATTGCTCGGCTGCAGCATGAGCAAGCCACCGCTGAGCAGCGAAGACTTGTCCAGCTGGCGGCACTGCAGCTCCGCTGGCTGCAGGCTCGGGCCACTGCACATCAGATTGGCCACCAGCCCCAGGAGCTGAGCCAGCGCGCACTCCGAGCTGAAGTGCGTCAGGCGTGTGGCACCCGGCGTGGCAGTCTGCAAGGCGTTTTGTGTGGAGGTGAATAGAACGATTCAGTTGAGAGTTTTTTAGTTTGCCTTACCTTCTCCTCGCTGGCGCTTTGATTGGCTAGATATTTGCCCAGTTTGTGGTGCTGCAGCAGCTGTTCCATGGCGCTGCGATGCGCTGGCGTGCTGAGCTCTGCACTCAGATCTTTGCCCAGGCCCAGGTCCAGCAGAGCGCGCATGTTGTCCGATTCACAGCTATAAAGGATCGGGAAGAAGGCAAATTAAGTCAACTCGAGATGCCCACGCAGCACACTCACTTGTAGCCATTGAGATCGCAAACGTAGCCGGCTAGAATGATGCAGCGATTGCCGTCGAGCAGCAGGTTCTCCATGTCGGAGCGGCGCACGTAGTGTGTCTCTGGATCGGCGGTTGGTGGCGGTGCAGCGCCCTTGGGGCCACCGCGGCAAATGATGCCCGGCCAGCCCATGTCGTCGCCGTCGCGCAATTCGCCCTCGCCCAGGGCGCGATTCAAGCGATCGAGCACGCGCAGCAGCGGCAAACAGAGGCGTGCCCAACGCAAGCTGGCCAAGCACTGGGGACGATCACGCTTCAGCAGCACCAGACCGACGAGCAGCTCGTGCAGCAGCGCGTCCGAGATGTCCGACTGGAGCACACGATTCAGCGCGGCGCCCAACAGCTGGGCACCCAGCGTAACCAGCTCCCCAGACTCGCGACACTGCAGCGCCAGTTCCTGGGCCTGCTGCAGCGTGCTGACGCAAGCGGGTATCAGGCTGTGCAGATATTGGGAGAGCAGCGCCTCGGCGCCAGTTGTATCCTCCTCGGCGCCGGCCTGATGAATGTGCGCCAACAGCAGCCGCTGAAAGCGATGCAGCAGGCAGAGGCTGGGGCTGGTCCCAGGCTGTTGTTGTTGCTGCAGGAGCAGCTGCTGCTGCTGCTGCTGCTGATGATGGTGATGGTGATGGTGATGATGGTGGTCCTCCTCAGCGGGCTGCTGCTGCTGCTGCTGCTGCTGCTTGACGAGCAGCGTCAATGACAGACGACTCTGTGTGAGTGATGCATTGTTGCCCAGCAGCCGAGTGATCAGCTGCAGCAGCGGCAAATGTGCGCCATCCGTGCAATCTGTGGAGCAGGAGCTGCTCTCCAGTCGTATCGCATGCTGCAACGCCGTCTCCAGGCCTCCCTCAGCCATCAGCGAGCTGACCAACAGATCTGTCATGAAACGATGTCCCGCCGAGCAGGCCTGCCCCGGCTCCGAGGGCAGCAGCGCTGTGAGGGTCTGCGCACGCTCCGCTGCCGTTGGCAAAAGGACACTCCAGCCATCCTGCAATGGGCAATACAAAGAGTTCATATCATTCGGATACTTATAGAGATTACAGGTCAGTACCTGGAGAGCCTGCTGGGCGGCTATTTGGATGGTGCGCAGGACTTGGCTGCCGCCGGCGAGACTCAGAATGCGGGTCTTGAGGCTGTTGAGCAGTCGCCCGCCGCTGGCCAGGCCTACGCTGCGCGGCTCAACGCCGTTGGCGATGAGCGCCAGCAGCTGGAGACGCACCAGATTGAGGCAGGCGACAGCGATGCATTCGGACTCCTGGTTGGGCGTCTGACGATTATCCTGGCCAGTGCTGGCACTGCACATGCCCAGCAGCTGGTCGAGCAGTCGGAATGTCGGTTCTCCCAGATCAATGACAAACGGTGCACGTAGCGGCACACCCTGCCGTGTGCTCTGCGTCCAGATCAGGCTCTGAGTGGCGGTGCAGGCAATCCCGCTGGCCGGCAATGTGGGCAGGGTAACTAAAATGGGTTGCCTCAGCAGTGGCTCACTGCAAACGGAGGCTGGACAAATCTGTTGGTTATCGTTGCGACCCCAGCCAAAGATCTCGCCGCTGCTGCTCAGAGCCAAGCAATGGGCCACGCCCACGGCTACGTCCACAATCCGTTTGTGCTGCAAACGAAGGCGAATGAATAGATGAAGCTTAGCTATAGATCTAACGTCAGCCTCACCTGCAGGCTGGTTATTAATCTGGGCACACTGCAGCCCTGCACGTTGCGCTCGACCAGCTGATGTCCCAGACAGGATGCCTTGCCCCAGCTATAGAGCTGACCCTCGCAGCTGAGCGCCAGCGAGAACTGTGCGCCTGCATAGACGCGCTGCACTCGCGGCAGACAATCGATGAGCAGCGGCTGTAGACTGCTGTTGCAGCTGCCATTGCCCAGCTTGCCATAGTCGCCATCGCCCCAGGCATAGACCAGGCCCTCGTTGGTCAAGCAGAGCGTATGGGCATCGCCGCTGCCCAGTGCCACATCCACCACTTGATGGTCCTTGAGAGCCATCACCATGGCGGGCAGACATTGATCATCGGAATTGCCATGCCCCAGACGGCCATAGGTGCCACGTCCCCAGGTGTACAGATTGCCGCCCAAGGTGATGGCCGCGCTGTAGGAGCAGCCGCAGTAGACAGCCTTCACCAAGCGCACCAAGCTCTCGATTTTGGTGGGCAACTCACGGGCGTGGCAGTCGCCGTGACCCAAGCGTCGGCTATCGCCGATGCCCCACGAGTATGCGTTATCTGGAGGAAGAGAGAGAGGGGGGAGGGGGCAGATTAGACATGTGTCAGCTGCTCGACTTGGCTCCCACTTACAGTTGCTGTCCACAGCTAGAAAGTGTCGACCCTCGCAGTGGGCGGCTATGGAGATGAACGTCTCGTTGGCTATTTCGGCAAAGTCCAGCTGCTGGGGCTCCGCCTCCGGCTTGGCTATGTGCCAGTTGTATAGCTTGCCCTCCTTGCTGAGCAACAGCACCACATCCTCGCTGCATGCCACCTGCTGCAGCTGGAACTTGCAGCCAAGCAGCGCCGGCGGCGGCTGCTGTGTGGCTGCGTTTGTCCAGCTCAAGGCGGGCTCCACATTGAAGCCCTGCTGCTCCTTGGACAGCGCTGGCCAGCCCAAGGCATAGACACGTTGTTGCTCCCACATGTTCGTGGGCGTTGTTGTGGGCGTGGCTGTGGCTGCTGTACGCAGCATGCAACTGGGCAAGAGATTCGTCAGCTGCGGCATGTGCGGCTGCACCAGCCGATCCAAGTGAGAGATTATGACCACAGCGGCACGCCGCAGATCCACAATGGCGGCCGAGCTCTTGGGCAGCATGAGAAAGCGCAGAAATGTTTCGGTGGCACTGGCCAACGGCGTCGGCAGCTCCACATTGGGATTGCTGCAGCCATTGTGACTGTGGCTGCTTGGCTCGGCGCCCAGGCGCTGGTAGCGTTGCAGGATGCGCAACAGAGGAGCGCCCGATTTGCGTGGCATGTCACGATTATCGCCATTCACGTTGCCGTGTCCGTGCCCGTGTCCATGCCCATGACCATGGCCATGTCCGTTGTCGTTGTCCTTCTCCCAGAGCAGCAGCAGCAACACCACACACTCCAGCGTGGCAGCCAGCGTGCCCTTCTGCACGCCCAGCTCGAGTAGCAGGCAGAGGGCTGTGTGCCTGTCCGCTAGCGGTGCCAAGCAGCGCCCACCCATGGGATCACCCAAGGCGACCAGACGCAGAAACTTAATCGAACGCTCCATGACCTCCAGCCAGAGCGGCGACACCTGGGCGGCTGAATCGAATAGCGTCGCTTCGGGCAGCTCCTGCAGCGATTCGAGTGCCTCACTTAGCAGCTCGCTGCACATTTCCATATCCTCGCCGGAACGCCAGGCGCGACGTAAGAACGCAAAGCTAAAGTTCAGGGCAGCTCGTGTGCCGACGCGTGCCAAGCCAAGCGCTGCGTGCTCCGGCTCCAGCTGCAGCGCCCGACGTGGCTGCTCCTGCTCAGATGGAGCGGGCCCATTGCATTCCTCCGACTGCTGTTGTGTGGGTGGAGAAGGATGTGTGGACTGCTGTTGCTGCTGCTGCTGCTGCTGCTGTTGCTGCTGCTGCTGCTGCTGCTGACTTCGTTTTAGGGCCACAAAATATCGTTCATAGATGAAGAGCTGTTGGCGCAGTTGCTGCGCCGAGAGACAGTTGCCGGCAGCACGCAGCGACAGCTCATGGAGCTCAGCGATCATTGTGCGCTGGCAGTCGTGTTTGGCCAACTGATTGGGTGGCTGGCTCCACATCCAGCTGCTCAACGTTAGCTCTGTGGCATGCAGCTGCCCGGCCGTTGCTTGCTGTGCCGCTGCCGAGGTTAACTTCTTGATGGCCATGTCCGAGTCGAGCGGGCGGCAGCCGTCGCAATTGCAGGCAGAGAGTGGACCGCAGTATTCGGGCTGGCAGCAGGCACATTGCAGCGCCTGGGCGCCACAGTAATGTTTGCCATCGTCGCCCAAATAGGAGAGCTGGCCGCGGGCGTTGAGCAGCGGCGCCGTTGGCGAGGATACCAATTCGCAATCCTGAATTAGATGATTCCAGAGTATGGCGCCCTCGGCACCGTTACGCAGGCAGGCAATGAGATCGGCACGCAGCCACTTGGCGTCCAGATAGGGCAGCGGGCGCAAATAGAGATCACTGATGGGTGTGGCAACACTGGCATGGCCGCTGGAGCCGCTGGAAACATGAGCAGGCGCTTCTGAAGCAGCGCCAGCGGCAGCAGCAGAAGCTGTTCCAGCGTTGCCCAACCGATTGAACATGTTGGGAGGAGGGAGATAGCGCGCGTGTGTGCTAGAGTGGAAGGGAATGTGTGTCCTTAGTGTTTACAGCACTGGAATCCAGAAAGCGTTGCCGCTTCCAACAATAACATGGCACGTTTGTTTTTTTTTCCAAGACTTCTGTTTTTTAATTCTTCTTTTGATTGTTTACTTTTCTTGTTTTTTAACTTGTTATTTATTATTTTTCTCTAGTTTTTTCTGTTGTGGCAAGACACACGATTAGAAAAAGCAGAGTAACGGTTACTAGCTGCTGGTGCGAGGCAGCGGGCAGCGGGCAGCGGGCAGTGGTCGGCCCAGTTGCAGGCTCAGTCAATGCCGTCAGACTAACAAACACACCCACACACGAAACAGCCCTCTCACACACACAGGCAGACAAGAGACACACGCACAAATAGTGGCTTAGAATGAATCGTAGTTTTCATTTTCGTTGCCATTGTGTCTGTGCGTATGTGTGTAAAAAAAAAAACAATATGACACTTGCGCTGATTCGATGCACTTATCTCACTAATATTCTTCACATTGTTGATTTAGTCCATCAACAATTTAAGTTAGTTTATTATTCATTTCTTAAGTTAAGTGATATATATTTAATCAATTAATAGTCGCCGTTGTTCTGCTTGGTACGCGAGGCTGCCAACCTGCTCGCAAAAAAAAAAACAAAAACAATTATCGATTACCGTTGTTGCAATTTTTCGCCCAACTTATCGAGCGACACCATCTGGCAGCACTGGCAGTGTGCCTATGTTTTTTTGTTTGAAAACTGCAATTGCGGCAACGAGCAGCTTTTCAAAAACCAGGTCAAATTTTCTAAAAATAAACGCATATATGCAACTTGTCGGTGATTGCAGCTGGATGACCTTTCTGAGACTACGCTCAGCCATTCGGCTTTTTGAAAATTTGCTAGCTTTTGTTGTTGCCATCTTGCTTATTATGACCTCATCGCAGCTCAACCCAATTTTAGGCATAATCAACCCTCGATTGCTGCCAGGCACAGTGAAGTCCGCTTTTATGTTCCCGCCCCTTAGACTGAATGGGTATGGGTAATATGGGTAATGGGTAATATACATATACTCTATATTCAATAGCAACAATTTGTGTGTGTACTGTAGAGGAATAATTCGTTTATTTATCGAATACATTGAAATGCATACACGAGTTGTTCTCAATTTGTTTTGTTTTTTGTTTGTTTGTTTTTTTTTTATATTTATATTACTTTGTATTTGTTTAAATAAATAAGATACATACGTTTAATCAATAATAGCAGTATTTATCGTGCAAATTTGATAAGCATAATAATGTTTTACGTTTACGTTTTGCTCTTTCTTGCAAGATTTCTTTTTTTTTTTATGAAATAAGTTTTTGCATTAAATATATGAAAAAAATATATGTATTTTTGTTGTTTTTTTTTTTTTTTTGTTTTGTTTTAATTAGCTGCTCTTATATAATTGCATTTACTTTTTCTTTAAAGTAAAAAACGATCTGCGCTTTGGTTCGTCCTTTTGTGAAGTAGCTGGCAAAGTTTGGGATCTGCTCGCCGCCACAGCTGCCGAATCGCTCTGGGCCTTCAAAGCGGATACCCACTGTGACATCTCATTGTCATCGTGGGCCTGCAGCAAGAACTCAGCGCCACTAGCGAGCCTAAATATCGAAGATAAAGGGTGATATATTGAGTATCTCCAATTTTTGATTTCGTATTTAAAACTCACTTTACTCGCAGCACGTGCTTCTTCTTGGTGTAATCACTGGCTATTTCGACGGCAGCGCCCTGCAGATCGTAGCTGGGCTCGCCGCGGAAGGTCAATTCGGGATTACTCTTATAACCCTTCTGATCTTTGAAGAACGAAACGCGTCCGCTTCGTGCAGCCATATAAACCTGAATAACACATATTATATTAAATTGTCAAATAAATATCCTCAAGCTCTGCTCCAATTAGGATGCATATGCGTTAATCTTCAGATGACTTCAATATATCAACTTGTTGCTTACCTTATCCCAGGATCTATTGGAGGCCTTCTTGGTAGCCGACTCCCATTCATGCTTTCGTGTCACATAACCCTCCTGACCATCTCCAGCAGCTGGTGTGGCGCCACGCTCTACATAAGAAACTTCGATTAGTTAATGCATATAACAATGTATATATATATATATATACACACATATAGTTAAATACTAGAGAAATGGATATGATTACATATAGTTAGATATAGATAATGATAGTTAGTTAAAGCGCTCCTTGACCTTGATTTGGACAAGCAAGCAAGCTATACCTGTTTGGGTCTCGATAACGCGCTCGGTGTCGACGGCTGTATCTGCAGCAGCTGCGTTTAGTTTAGGTTAGTTGGTTGATTGTTAATCCGTCGTTTTGTATATATATATAAATATATATATAGATAGATATATAGTAAGCATGAACGAATGAGATGGAATGTTTAGATTTTAGTTTGGGTTATGCACATACATACGAGAACAGATCATAGATTGTTAATAATAATGATAGACACAGACAGGTGAGGTAAGAGTTTACGTATGCTTCCATTCCCATCTAATCCTACCTGCTTCATCATGGGCTCCAACGCCCTCATCGACATCATCGCGACGCTCGGCCTCACGCTTGGCTATCTCCGCCGCCTCGGATGCGGCCTTAGCCTCCTGTTCCTCCTTAATGCGCTGGCGTTCAGCCTCTTCCGCCTTTTCCTGGCGCCGTTTCATTTCCTTAAGCTCAAACTGTTAGAAGAAAAGGAAATCACATGCAATGATTAGATAAAATCAAATGGTAATCGAGTATCGTGGCTTACTGTTGTCAAACGCTCAAGTGCGCTGAAGCGCTCCTCCTGTGCGGCGGCGGACTTCTCAAATGCCTCGTGCTTCTTAATCAGATTCTCAACCTCATCGATGGTGTGTCCCAGCTCGGAGGAGAGTAAGTATGGCTCTTGGGCAATAAGCCAAGCCTCGGCAACGGCAGCATCTCGGGCAAACTGGTAAACTTCCAGAACTGAAAAATGTTGAAATTTGAATTAAATTCGATAATAGATTTCGATTATATTCGTAACGTACTCAATTGCAGATTCTCCCAACGTTCCTCCCAGCGTAGGAGCAGGGCATTGCGACTGTTGTTCAGCTGCTTCAGGCGATCCTTGATGTCAGCGGAGGCATAATGATTGCGCGTTAGCAACTCCTTGCCGAGAGATATGCACGCACTGAAATTATCCTCGCGCGTATCGATCTCGGCCTTTAGACTCTGATGGTTATTCATGAGCAGCTCGACACCGGATACGTCGCGCGGCTTCTCTGAGGTGTTCATCTGGCGCACCAGATCCTCAATCCAGATGGTGAGTATGCGCACCATATTAAAGAACCGGAACAGATCACCTGTGTCGGCCAACTTCTGTTTGCGTGCATCGCACATGGCCTGCAGGTTGTCCCAGGCATGAAGTACTTCCTGTTCGCGATTGGTTATCTCCTTGGCCTTATCGCCGGCATAGGCATCCTGCAGCTTGGCGGATTCCTCCTGAATCTGTTGCACTTGCGAATACAATGTGGTCAGATCTTGCAGGAAATTATAGTGTTTACGCTGCAACGTTGACACGGAGCCAGCATCACGGCCCAGCTCATCGGAGACGCCGTGCTGCTTCTCGAGTATGCGGCCCAGGACATCTTTGCAGTCATGGAAGAATTTGTGCAACTCCCGCGATGCGGCCAACATCTGGGTGCGTGTCTCAATCAGCTCCAACAGATCCTGCCACGACTCATTCAGATTGTCCTTCCATTCGGCAATCGTTGCCGAATCCGAATGTCCAGCCTGTATCAGATTATCTGCAATGCCATTGACCTTGGCCACGCGTTCTCCTCCCACAGCCTCGGTGTCGCGGGCAAACTCATTGAAGCGTTCCGAGAGTAGGGTAACATGATCATAGTCTTGGCCAAGTTCCTGTGAACCGGCAACCACCTCACGATCGGTAATCCATTGCTCTAGATCGTCAACCTCGCGGCTCAGCATAAACAGCTGCAGAGCTTCATTTAAGCGAGCACGACGCTCACCGGCCAGATCCTTGAGACCTGCGTACAGCTTGTCCAGCTGAGATTGCTTAACGGCAACGGCATCGCCGCTGGATATATCATCGGTGCTAAATTGCCGTGCTACCTCGCCTAGCTGGCGTATGGTATTGGCATAGTCCTCCACGGATTGTTCAAGGTTTTCGTGTTTCTTCATCAGATTTTGGGCACTGATTTCGTCCTTGCCGCGGTCCTCGACCATCATGTAGAGCTCCTGTTCGCTCATCCAGGACTCAGCCTCCTGGGCATCGAAGAAATACTGCTGCACCTTCTCCGATTCGAGCAAATGACGCTTGCGGTTCTCGATCGCATCCTTCAACTCCTGCCATTTGGCTGTTAGGTCGCTGATCAATGCTTCGAATTTCTTTGCATCCTCGTGACCTTCATCGATCAGTTTGCGTCCATTGTTGCAGATGGCATTGATGCGTGGCTCGTGGTTGTCAATTTCGGTGGCCAGCGATTGGTTCTTCTTCTTCAAAACATGCACATTGAAGAGAGAGTTGCCATAATCTGTGGAGTTGGCCACGGGCAGCTTTTCATCGATCCAGAGTTTCTCATCCTCGACATCGCGACAGAACTGGAAGGCCTCCTTCTTCTTCTCCAGCTGCTTCTGGCGTTCCAGCAACGGGGCCTTGATCTTTTCGAAACGCTCCAGCACTGCCGTCTTCTTGACGACAATTGGTTCGATCTTCTCCTCGGGCACTGTCTTTTGCAGATATTCGGTCTGCTTGTCAATCTCTTCGACTTGGCGTGCCTTGACCGCCATCTGGGTCTGGATGACCTGTTGCTTCTGCATGAGTATATTGACAGAGGTCAGATCGTTGGCAGTGTCACCGCTCACGATCTGCTTCTCCAGATCTGTGATGTAGGAGTCGATGTCATCACATGTCTGCTGAACGAGCACCTCGCGATTGGCATCGAAGAGCAGGGCGCCCTTCTCCTTGGTGTGGACCTCGAGGTCATCGAATTGTTTAGCCAGCTCCTTGAGCTTCGGCTCGATGACATCTTTGAATTCGGGCTTCTCCTTGGACAGCTCCTGGGCGGACTTCTCGGCCTCGTACAGGCGCTCCTTGTTAGCAGCGATCTCTGCCTCGAACGCTTGATGCCTTGTCCATTTGGAGTGAATGGTCTTGGCGCTGCGGTAGGTCTCATCCTGCGATGTGACATATTTCTCTTGCACCCATTCGGCCAACTCTTCCAGATCCTGCAAGAATTCGTGCAGCTTCACCTGGTTCTTTAGCTTCTCGTGTTGGTCGAGCGCCCGTTGGCGATTATCGTCACGACGTCCGGTTATATTCTCGGCCCGCTTGCCAATCTTGTCCGCATCGAAGTGCTCCTTCTCCACCAAGGTGTCGGCCACCTGGAGCAGAGTATTGATCTTGTCATCGTTGGCCTCCATGGTGGTAAGGAAGGCTTCGTGACGTTTCAATTGATTCTCGGCCTGTTCGAGATTAACCGGCGTGTCGTCCTTGCTCAGGAAATGTTCCTGCTGGCTGAGCAGCACCTCGGTCTGGCGTGCATCCCGATTGAAGAGCTGCTGATCGAGGCTCTGTGACAGTAGTACTTGTCGATTCTCCCACATC